TTTGGAGAATTTTAGATCATCTCTTTGGATCAACATCTTGTTCTTGTTCTTGTTCTCTTTTTCGTTCAACATCTTTCTCTCTTTTTAAATCACTTACAAGTCGGTCTCCTTTTGGTTTTAGGGATTAGCCTTGCGCCATTCAAAAGGGACAATTCTTAAGCTCTTCCACATTTTTTTTTGAGTTCAATTATGGAAACGAAACCATCGCTCACATATCTTTCAAAAAATAAAAAGATTTCAAGGCTCAGGCTTGATGGCTTGATCTTGGCATGATCTTGGCTTGATCTTAGCATGATCTTGGCTTGATCTTGACTCTCTTACTTCTAGAGGTAGATTCTGGACTCCAGGATCTGTCTGGAGCGCAGGATCTGGCCTAGCTTGACTCCAGGATCTGGCTTGACCTCCAGGATTGATTCAATTGAGTTTAAACAAAAGTACAAAAAGGAAAAGGAACAGTCTAATATCAATTTCTCAGTCTAAAAGACAGTCTAATATCAATTTCTCATCAATGTCTCAATCAATGTCTCATCAATGTCCCACTTCATTAGTGAGGCTCATTGATCTAGTACAATGTTTTAAGGACACCGCCTGTGAAAAGGGGAAATGGTGGAGAGAAGAGTGCGTCATTCAAGTGGTTTCTTAAGTCCAAACAAAAAAAGAATGCATTCTCTATCCTTTCATTCGCAGAGTATTGTTCTTAGTGCGCAAAATCGTTTCAGTTGTTTAACGAAAACAAGTCAACTAAAGCAACTAGAGCAATTAGATCTAGAGTAACTAGATCTAGAGTAACTGGATCAAGAGAAACTAGATCCAGAGTAACTAGATCTAGAACAACTGGATCAAGAGCAACTAGATCCAGAGTAACTAGATCTAGAACAACTGGATCAAGAACAACTAGAGCCAGAGCAACTAGATCCAGAGCAACTAGATCCAGAGCAACTAGAGCAATTAGATCCAGAATAACTAGAGCAACTAGATCCAGAGCAACTGGATCAAGAGGAACTAGATATAGAGCAACTAGAGCAACTAGATCCAGAACAACTAGAGCCAGAGCAACTAGATCCAGAGCAACTAGATCCAGAGCAACTAGAGCAATTAGATCCAGAGTAACTAGAGCAACTAGATCTAGAGCAACTGGATCAAGAGGAACTAGATATAGAGCAACTAGAGCAACTAGATCTAGAGCAACTAGATCCAGAGTAACTAGAGCAACTAGATCAACTAGACCCAGAGCAACTAGGCAACTAGATCAAGAGCAACTGGATCAAGAGCAACTAGATCTAGAGCAACTAGATCCAGAGCAACTAGGCAACTAGATCCAGAACCTTTTCAGAACTTAGGCTTACAGTATTTAGTACTAGACTGTATACGGCAGTTCACGGCTCTGAAGACCTATGCATTTCTTTCTTTCTTCCTTTCTTTCTTTCTTTCTTTCTTTCTTTCTTTCTTCTTCCTCTTGCCTCCCTTCTTTCTCTTGACAAGTTAAGGTACCGGATAGCTCATTGGTTAGAGCAATTGCCTGAAAAGCAAAGCAAAAGAAAGCAAGAGCAATTGTTACTCTAACAATTGTTCTCTAACAATTGTCCTCTAACAATTGCCTGGTTCCCTTTCTGGAAATCTTCTTGTCAATTCCTTGACTTTATTAAAGGAATCTGGTTAGTGGCAAATTGCCAGTCTACCATTGAAATCAGTTGATGAATTCTGAATAAACTCAAAACTTGAGTCTAAAATCATACCAAAAGTGGTGTCGATGGCAATTTGCCTCCAAACATCAAAGCGTCCAAGTTTCAGCACTTCCCGCTTCCCGCAAATCGCTTGCCCCATTATCACATTGTGTTCATTGAGGCATGTGTGTGTGAAAAGAAAAGACAAGGCAAAAGACAAGGCAAAGGACAAGGCAAGAGTTGATCCCTTTTTGTCTCTTTTGTTTCTTTTGTTTCTTTCATTCATCTTTCTATTTGATGTCCATATTTTGTGGATTAAAAACGATGATATTGGAGAGAAAAGGGGAGCCGCTGTCGATCACAAAGCCGACACATGTGTGCCCTTTTGTAGCCGGCTAAAAAAGGCGTAAACTTTTCTGAACGTATAAACAGTGTTCAAGAAGAGAGCTTGTTTATTGATAAAAGTGAACTTGTTTATTGATAATTTATCGTTTCTATAGGAATTTTGAGTTCTTTAATGAGTTCTTTAAGGAGTTCTCTAAAAGGTTCTTTAAGAGCTTCTCTAAGAACTTCTTTAAGAAGTTCTCTACGGACTTTTCTACGGACTTCTCTAAGAACTTCTTTAAGAACTTCTCTAACAACTTCTCTAAGAGCTTCTCAAAGAACTTCTTTAAGAACTTCTCTAACAACTTCTCTAACTAGGGAATGTTGTTAACTTATCGTGGCTTTTGACTCGGGAAATAGGCTATCTAATAGCCTATCTAATAGCCCATCTAATAGTCTATCTAATAGCCTATCTACTAGCCCATCTAATAGCCCATCTGATGCAGTTTTTCACGCTGATTCCGAATCTGCAATCAGTTTTTGCCAAACACTTCCCTATCGTGAGATATTTGGCATAAAAGTTTTTGGGATCTCTTTATGAGGGCGATGCACTGTTTTCAGCCAACGGCCTCGGTGGTGTAGTGGTTAGTGCGCGTGTCTCCAGGGCGTATGACCTTTTGGACCCCGAGGGGTTCGAGTCCTTTCAATGAAAACTTGTTTTTTAAAGTTTGATTGTTTTGTATAAAGCTAAATCCGCCCTTGTTTTTCTCAAGAGACCCCAAAAACTTGTATGCCAAATATCTCGCGATAGAGAAGCGTCGGGCAAAAACTGATTGCAGATTCGGAATCAGCGTGAAAAACTGCATCAAATAGGCAATTTTTGGATAAGTTAAGTAAGTAAGAATAGTAAGAATTCGACTCTTAGGCTCAGGCTCAGGCTTAGGCTCAGGCTTAGGCTTAGGCTTAGGTCAACAATTGTCAACAATTAGCTTCTTGTCAACAATTAGCGCCAGTTTGCGATTTGGTCAATTTCCAAAGTAATTTAAGCAAAAAAAATCCGTAAATTGAGTGAAAAGGTAAACAAAATCGGAAAAAATCGGTGTTTATCGGACTTCCAACTGTGTTTTTGATAGTCAACTACAAGAAATGGAGTGATTTTCGGATTTGTCGGCCATCTGTCACCGTTTTGTTCGATTTTGAGTCACTTTTTGAAGTGTTATAGTCGATTTTACGAGCTAAACTCGAGATTTTACGAGCTACGAGCTAACCGATCTAGCGTAATCTTTGTAATCGTGAAATTTGTGCGCAAAAATACGCCGTCTAGTGCCCTGGAATGCAAGAATTTCTCATTTTTCATCAATTACTCAAAAAGAGTCATCATTCTGACCTTGATCCTCTCAAAACACTCCATTTCTAGAGTAAACAAATCCCGGAATTGAACTATCATTCAATTTTCTTGTCCTCATCATCATCTTCTCATCCACTTCACTATTCAAGCTTCAAGGTCAAAGCAACTCAATGATGACAATAGTTAGATATTGAGACAATATTGGAGTGAAGAAAAGGGAGAGGAAGAAGAGGAAGAAGAAGAAGAAGAAGAAGAAGAAGAAGAAGAAGAAGAAGAAGAGGAAGAAGAAGAAGAAGAAGAAGAAGAAGAAGAAGAAGAAGAAGAAGAGGAAGAAGAGGAAGAGGAAGAAGAAGAAGAAGAAGAAGAAGAAGAAGAAGAAGAAGAAGAAGAAGAGGAAGAAGAAGAAGAAAAAGAGGAAGAAGAGGAAGAAGAAAGAGGAAATGGGTCAATTGAGTCGAGAAATAGGATTACAAGTGGAAATGGATTGTTGGCAAGAATTTGACTCGATCATTTATCGCTTTATTTTAATTCTAAAATAAAAACAGAAATAAAAACATTTATTATTCAAAACTAGCTTAGTAGAAAAGCAAAAGCTTCATGAAATCTATTTTACTGCCCAGAAAGTCTTTTCCTTTCCTTTCCTAAAGCCTATTCTTTCACTAAGAGTTTACTGGCTATGTCATTAGCTAGGTTACAGTTTGAATTAGCTAGATTGGCATTAGCTAGATTAGCATTAGCTAGGTTACAGTTTAAAGTTACAGTTAGACTAATAGTATTATTAGACTAGTATTGTTAGTAAGATTGCCTAAGAGTACCTGAGATTGAATCCAGAGTATCCTTGGCTACCTGGGAATGGATAGATCTGCTCAGATCTTGGGCATAGCTTGATCTGCTTAGATCTTGTCTAAACTGTAGCCCAGGCTAGGTCAAGCCAAGCCAGATCCTGGAGATCAAGGAAGCCAGATCCTGGAGATCAAGGCAAACCAGATCCTGTAGGCCAAGCCAGATCCAAGATCCTGAGCTCCAGATTGATCCTGGTGGCAAGCCAAGCCAGATCCTGGAGCTCAAGTCAAGCCAGTCCAGATCCTGAGCTCCAGATAGAGTCCAGGAGTCCAGTCTGGAGTCCAGGAGTCCAGTCTGGAGTCCAGGAGTCCAGTCTGGAGTCCAGGAGTCCAGTCTGGAGTCCCGGAGCCCAGTCTAGAGTCCAGGATCTACCTCTAGAAGTAATAGAGTCAAGATCATGCCAAGATCATGCCAAGATCATGCCAAGATCAAGCCCCAGTTTATCCCAACCAACCAGATCAAGCCAGCCCCAGATCTCTGTTAGAAACTGACTAGGAATAGCCAGTCAAACGATCTAACAGCTTTGCAAGCAATCGATCGCCACTCCTTCTCACAAAATGGTGTCCATTGCCCTCAATATTTAGCCGATTTATCCTTTTTCGCTCATTCACTGGAACTCGGGGGATAAACAGAGGGAAAAGAGACGCTATTTAGGGTGTGGGCGGGGCTACCGTAACCCGTTGCCAGTCGCTGCTCTAGCCAAGAAGACACTCCCAAAATCTTCATTCACCAAACGAAAATCTCCATTCGATTCAAAGCCATCCATTCCAAGCCCTTCTGGATCTACATTCTTTATTTTTTCTGTCATAAACGAGGGAACGATGAGCGTGCCGAGCAGTGAGTCGAATTCTGAATTGATGACTTTCGAACTGACGGTCCAGTGCTTGGCTGGCTTATCCAGTGCTTAGCCGTCTTACTCAGTGCTTGGCTGGCTTCGAACTACTTTAACTTGTTCTTCTTCTTCTTCTGGTGCACTGAGTTCTTCATTTTCTGAAGAAAACTGAAGATTTCGTTGCGCCAGGAGGTGTACGATTCTAAGTTTAAGCAGAAAGTACACTAAATCCATTGAGCAGTGAGATTGATTTGGATTGACTGATTGATTGACTTTCTCAGGGTTATTCTAAAGATGATTTTCCGGATTAGGCTAGAAATCAGGCTTAGCCTGGCCTGGCCTGGCTTGGCCTGGCCTGGTCAAGACAGAACAAGACAAGACAGGACAAGACAGGACAAGACAGGTCAAGCAAGACTTGGTCTAGACAGTCTCCAGGTTCGCAAGAAGCTAGGTTAGGCTTGGCTCAGGCTTGACTCAGGCTTGACTCAGACCTGGCTCAGGCTTGACTCAGGCTTGCTTGGCTCAACCTCAGGGTTGAACTTAACCTGACTTCTTGCTTCTTCTTGCCTTCAATTCCTCTACTCCAATAATGTTTCGACGCTAAATCTAAGCTTTAGAGATAAATGAAACTCCAGAGATTCTTCCAAATCAGAGTAAGAGTTGGCCCTTTTCCCCTTGTCCCGGAGAGCCCTTGTCTCGAAGTTGTTTGGCCAAATCAGACAAAAGAAAGATTCACCCCTGAATTTCCCTCAAATATTTCAAGAGTCGTTGCCCATTATTGTCGTCTTTTCCATTCTATTCAAAGCCAAAACAATGGCTTTCTATTCAAAGTGAAGTGCCTTACTTTGCGCCTCGTTTTAAGCCTAAGAAAGTGAAAAGCTAGGAGCAAGGGAATTTGTTGATAAAGAAAAATGACATAAAGAAAGGTATCTATTGTATTGAGTAACTTTTTGACTATATATAGCTACCGTATCCTGTTACTGTAGCCGATTTTACCCGCCACTGTAGCCGATTGTTACCTTTTCGGGTATTTTGAACAACTCGTCCAATTTTGAAAGCCCATAACTTTGTCTAGAAATAATATTATGGCTAAGCGTTTATATCATTGTATAGAAGAGATTTCAGGCTTTCAAATGATACTAAATAGAGTTTGATTAGATAATTCAGTCCAAAAAAATCCAGTCCAGAAAGGCTCTGGATTTCAAGTCTAGGCTTGAATGAGCCGTCCAACTTTGAAAGCCCATAACTTTGTCTAGAAATAATATTATGACTAAGCTTTTATATCATTGTATAGAAGAGATTTCAGGCTTTCAAATGATACTAAATAGAGTTTGATTAGATAATTTAGTCCAGAAAAAATGAGCCAGAAAAATGAGCCTGAGCCAACTCTGAGCAAATGAGGTCTATCCAACTCGAATATTTTATCGCCTGATTTTGTTGGACTGGATTTTCCAATCAAGCTTTATTTAGTATCATTTAAAAGCCTAAAATCTCCTCTATGCAATGATATAAAAGGTTAACAAAAATATGATCTCTAGAAGAAGTTATAGGGCTTTAAAGTGTGGATGTCCCGGGTATTGAAATTGGCTGGATAATTGGCCGGATATTGACTGGATATTGATCGTTTTGATTGAAGAATCCCTAAAAAAGAAGAAGTTAAACTATTATTAGATATTATAGATATTATTATTATTGTTCTTTTAGGTCGAATCCTTCTCGATGTGCCGTGTCGTGTTTGCGATGATCACTCGTCAGGGAAACATTATGCAGTCTTTGCATGTGATGGATGTGCTGGATTTTTCAAGTAACCACTCTATAATAACTTAAACTGTTAACTAAACTGTTAACTAAAGAAGTAGAGTACTTGGGTTAAGCAAAAGATCTTTATTCTATGTACTTTGTGCTCTATCTTTCTTTATGATCTTTATTCTATGTACTATGTACTATGCACTATGTACTATGTATTATGTACTATGTACTATGTACTATGTACTATGTACACTGCTAAACACAGCTTTTCTAGTGCAACGATAAACCTTTTTCAGGCGATCGATCCGTCGCCATCGTCAATACGTTTGCAAGAATAAAGGAGCCGGTGTTGGGGAAGAGGGAAGGTGTTTGGTTGACAAAACGCACAGGAATCAGTGCAGGTTTGAGTTGTGTTTCTGAAGCTGGCTTTGGTTTGAACTAGCTGGCTAGACTAGGCTAGATTTAGCAAAACCTAGACTAGTTTACAAAGCTTGCAAGCTTCCAAGCTAACAGATTACAAAGCTGACAAGCTTACAGACTACAAGGCTTACATTGGACTGGTCCTAGCTGGTTTTAGCTTGAAAACTTGAGCTTACCCAGTGCTTGGCTGTCTTGTCCAGTGCTTAGCTGACTTGTCCAGTGCTTGGCTGACTTGTCCAGTGCTTAGCTGGCTTATCCAGTGCTTGGCTGGCTTGCCCAGTGCTTAGCTGGCTTATCCAGTACTTAGCTGTCTTACCCAGTGCTTGGCTGTCTTGTCCAGTGCTTGGCTGACTTGTCCAGTGCTTAGCTGACTTGTCCAGTGCTTAGCTGGCTTATCCAGTGCTTAGTTGGCTTGTCCAGTGCTTAGCTGGCTTATCCAGTACTTAGTTGGCTTATCCAGTACTTAGCTGTCTTACCCAGTGCTTGGCTGGCTTGCCCAGTGCTTAGCTGGCTTACCCAGTGCTTAGTTGACTTGCCCAGCGTAGTTACAGTACCCAATGCTTTACAATATCTACCGTATCCCTCAAAAACATCCCACTTGAACTACCTACCGTACTTTCCTAGTACCTAAAAGGCTACGATGGAAAGGGAAATGTTTTGAAATCTGTTCTAGAATCTGTTTTAGAATTAGAATCTTTTAGAATTCCCCATTATTTACTCCAAGAGTTTGCAAATTTTTGCCTAAAACGAAAAGGTGCTCAAATTCAATGAGTTCATTGAAAAAAAAACCCGTAAAAACACCAAAAATTCTTTTCAAATCGATTCCCCGTTTTTTTTTCTCTTTTTTCATTGCGCAATTGGTCTGAAAATTCCCCAATGAACTCTATTGTTCGTTTTTTTTCCTCCGAAATTTCACTCAATCAATTTAAGACAAGGAATTTCAATAGAGGGCTTTGAGAAGTGGAATTGTGAACTTTTTTTGGGTACAAGTCTTGATATCGTTAAACAATCTGTTTCCTAAAATGCTATTGATCTTTAACTTGCTATTGATACTTGGCTGAATACTCTAGTCTAACTAGTCGAGCTACCAGTAACCAGTACTAACAGTAGGCTACAGTAATCAGTACTAATAGCAGGCTACAGTAACCAGTACTAACAGTAGGCTACAGTAATCAGTACTAATAGCAGGCTACAGTAACCAGTACTAACAGTAGGCTACAGTAACCAGTACTAATAGCAGGTTACAGTAATCAGTACTGTAGCTAGCCAAGCTGTAGCTAGCATGTAGCCTGTAGCCAGTACTAACAGCAGGCTACAATAGCCAGTACTAACAGCAGGCTACAGTAGCCAGTACTAACAGCAGGCTACAGTAGCCAGTACTAATAACAGACTACAGTAATCAGTACTACTAGCAGTACTGCAGTTAGCCAAGCTACAAGTAACCAGTACTAATAGTAGGCTACAGTAACCAGTACTAAAACAGGCTACGGTAACCAGTACTGTAGCCAAGCTGTAGCTAACCTGTAGCTGTAGCTAGCCTGTAGCTACTGTAGCTAGTCAAGCTACAGTAGCTGCTGTTAGTACGGGTTACCGCTTGGCTAGCTACAGCTACAGGCTAGCTACAGCTTGGCTAGCTACAGTACTGATTATTGTAGGCTGCTGTTAGTACTGGTAGCCAGTACTAACAGCCGTCTACCAGTACTAATACTAAGCTACAGTAATCAGCACCAATTGCAGGGCCAATCTTTTCCAAAAATCCTAGTTTTAACAAGAAAAACTTTGCTTTTTAATTGTAATTGTAAACCTCAATAAGAAAACACCAGAATGAAGTGTTGTTGCTGTAATTTAACCCCCAATAATATGTGTTGAGACAGATTTTGTCGAGTGCCTTAAGCAGATGCAATCTCAAGAGAAATCCTGGGGGAAAGGACCCTCAACAGAGCTGTTATTGCTAGAATTGTTCAATAAAATTGTCGAATAAAGTTGAGCAAAGGTTGTAGCTAGTTAAATAAACTAATTAAATCAATTAAACCTGCTCATTTGTCTGTTTGATTGTGAGGTATGTGAGAAACGAGATTTAACCATTTTAACGATAACTTTTCAGCATTTTTCTCTAAACAACAGCAAAAAAGAAGATAGAATTCTTCAAAAAACTCTTTGAAAATAGTCGTTTCGTTGTAAAATATTGACAATTGACAAATGGGCAGCTATGGATCTAAGCTGGCAGCTATAGATCTAAGCTGGCAGCTATAACTCTAAGCTGCCAGCTATAACTTACAAGAGAAACTGGCCAAAACAAATGAGCTAACGCAGAATTTCACGCTGATTCCAAATCTGTTTTTCTTTTTTTCTATGGAACACTCTGTCAAAAGTTATAAGCATTGAAAGTTTTGTTTTAAAAATTAAACCGCGACCTTAAAACCCTTTCTTCCGGCAGCTGGCCGGTTGCAGTGGTGGCCGAGTGGTAGTGAGTTAGGGGGGCGAGGCGTCCAGTTATCGGTTGGTCTCTGGTTCGAGTCCGGTGGCTGATTGCCTGCATTCTTTTTTGGGATTTAATGACCTGTGAATTCTTTATTGCTTTTCTTGTGAATTCTTGACTCAAGAACCTCTTTCAACGATCACTAATTCATTGAACAGTCCCACATGGATAGCTAAACAAAGTTCTCTAAAAGTTTCTCTAAAACCGCATTAAAACCTGTTCAACCTAAAAAGAAAAAAGATCTGACGATAAGTCAGCTACCGGATTCGAACCAGAGACTGAAACTGATCAGGTGGTCTAGCGTCCTAACTCACTACCATTCAGCCAATGCTGCAACTACTAAAGGGAGAAAAATAGAGTTGTAAGGTTGCGGTTTGATTTTTAAAACCCTAACTTTAAACCCATATAACTTTTGACAGAGTGCTGCGTAGAAAAAAAGAAAAACAGATTTGGAATCAGCATGAATTTCTGCATTGAATCGCTATGTGAATTCGCTTATTAGAAATATTAGTAAGTGAAAAATCGAAAAAGTTTCAGAGCTTGTCGTTTGCGTCGATGTATCGAGGTTGGCATGAATAAAGAAGCAGTTCAACATGAAAGAGGTACAAATTAGCTTGAGTTAAAAGATCAAGATCTTCTAATTCAGCCAGAAATCCAACCAGAAATCCAATTTGTTTCAGGTCCACGAAATTCAACGCTGCAACGCCGGGCGAATCTCCATCAACAATTGAATGGGCTTTTTCCAGCGTTTCCGCTTGAAACGAAGCAATCGGTGGGAATAGAAAATAGTAAAAACTTGGGTAATTAAACCGGACAAAGTTCTTTCCGGGTCTTTCCTTTCGAAGCCGTGTGCCAGACGCCGCTTTTTCCTACGAGCGGCGTTAAAGGTGCGCACAAAGAGTGTTCTCTGCTTTCTATGGATTGATTTCATTCAAATCTAGTTACTAATATTACTCTTATTTGTTTATTACTGTATAATAGCTAGCTTGATTCTCTTAGACACAGGTTTTAGAATGAATTTCAAATTTCTTGTACTCAAATGAATGCGTGAAGCTTGAGACTCAATAACTTTGAGAATTCTGTCATAAATCGGGATTTTCTTCTTCTTCTTCTCCTTCTTCTTCTTCTTCCCCTTCTTCTTCTTCTTCCCCTTCTGCTTCTTCTTCTTCTTCTTCTCCTTCTTCTTCTTCTCCTTCTTCTTCTCCTTCTCCTTCTTCTTCTTCTTCTTCTTCTTCCCCTTCTTCTTTTTCCGCACTCATCCCCGAATATTTGACGAGGGCAATAAGTGCTTCTTGGATATTTTATGCGGAAAAAGCCGGGCTTACGGTAGCTTAGCCAAAATGAAAAGCTAATTGATCATTCCGCGAAATTATATTGAGATTCGAGTGGTGAAGCGTAGATCAAGAGTTCTTTAGCACCGGGGAGACTCGGCTTTAACTAATAGTTGTGGATCTGGTCCAAGACTTGATCCAGAACCAATCCCAAGTCTTGAATCTAGTTCAATCTTGATCTAGAGCCAATCCAAGTCTTGGTTCTGATTCAAGTCTTCGTCTAGAACCAATCCCAAGTCTTGGATCTAGTTCGAGTCTTGATCTAGAGCCAATCCCAATCCCTGGCTCAATTCTTGAACTAGAACCAATCGAAATCCTCAACCCGGCTTAGACCCTAGTGTATTCTTTGAAAAAAACCTCAAAAATCACAATAAAACAGTCAACAATCATTCGTGCAACACTTTAATCTTCTCCCCAATTTGCCGGGAGTTGGCTTGTCGGGTACGGTAATAAGTCCAGCTTAAAATTGGGGATTTTCACGCTGAACAGTCATTTCGATAGGCTGACGGGATGGTAAAAAGGCAAAAATTGAGGGAAATAGGGGAGATTGTTGACTTGTGAAATGGAAATAGGCATACAAAATGAAACATTGGGGGTTTTGGCTAAAGTGAAAGATGTCGTAAGCTTAGCCATGCTCAGAATTAAGTCTGGCTTTTGGTCTTGCAGTTGGTCTAGATTTTACTCAGTCTAGATCAGGCCAGGGTTAGGCAAGGCTAGATTAGATCGGTTTAGAGTCAGCTGGATCGGTTTAGAGTCAGTTAGATCGGTTTAGAGATCAAGCCAGACCAAACTAGAGTCAGTCTAGACAGTCTAGACAGTCTAGACAATCGTCTAATCTTCTGGATCTAGAGAGATCTGGGTTTGGTTTGGGTTAGAGATTAGGAACCAGAATCTGGCCTAGTCTTCTGGCTTTGGCTTTGGCTTTGGCTTTGAACTAAGGCACAGTCGCCAGAGAGACTGCAAACGGGTTGAGATCTTCCGATTGAGAGACAGACGCTGGCAATCCACCATAATGAAACATTGCTAGGCTTTCAATTTCACCTTTATTTCAGCTCTCATCTCCTCGTTGCTCTTCCTCTCCCCGAAGCGTTCCTCCACCACAATCCGTCTCCATTCCATCACTTCCATCGATCTCTCCACAAAACCAATTCATCAACGGGATCCCAAAGCAAGAGGCTTCATTGCCTGAGGTTTAAATTTAATAATAAATGAATAAAATATTAGAAAAGTTGATTCTTTAAAGAAACTTTTCCATTTTCAGATTGCTGCTCGGGTTTTCTTTCAAATGATTTCATGGACCCGGATGCAGATCCCATTCGTTGCTTTGTCACATCAACAACAGGTAGATCAATTTCTAAATCTCCAATTCAAATTTCTAATATTGACTCTTGTCTAGTATCTTTGGCTCAAGAAAGCTTAGGCTCTGGATTTCAAGTCTAGGCTTGAAAGGCCTAGGCTGAGCCGTTCAACTTTGAAAGCCCATAACTTTGTCTAGAGTTAATATTATGACTAAGCTTTTATATCATTGTATAGAAGAGATTTCAGGCTTTCAAATGATACTAAATAGAGTTTGATTAGATAATTTAGTCCAGAAAAAATGAGCTAGAGAAATGAGCATGAGCCGACTCTGAGCAAATGAGGTCTATCCAACTGAAATATTTTATCGCCTGATTTTGTTAGACTGGATTATCCAATCAAGCTTTATTTGGTATCATTTAAAAGCCTGAAATCTCCTCTATGCAATGATATAGAAGGTTAACAAAAATATAATCTCTAGAAGAAGTTATAGGGCTTTAAAGTGTGGATGTCCCTGGTATTGACTGGATATTGACTGGATATTGACAGGATATTGACCCATAACTTTGTCTAGAGATAACATTATGGCTAAGCTTATATATCATTGTAGAGAGGACAGTTCAGTCTTTCAAATGATACCAAATAGAGCTTGTTTGAATAATCCAGTCAAAGAAAATCAAAGCTAACTCTGGAGAAACGGGGTTGATCTAATTCGGGTGGAGTATCGCCTAGTTTTCTTGGACTGGATTTTCCAATCAAGCTCTCTTTGGTATCATTTAAAAGCCTGAAATCTCCTCTATGCAATGATATAGAAGGTTAACAGTTAATATGATCTCTAGATAAAGTTATAGGCCATTAAAGCTTCTCCATTCGGGCAAGAGCCGATTTCTGTTAAGAGCCGATTTCGGTTAAGAGTCTAAATTCCTAAACTGATAATTGATATCTTTTCTTTTCTAGGTCTCTTCTCTTCAACAAGGTTGGTGTCCGCTTTTTGTTTTGAGTGCGATTGAAAGTCGTACACTCAACACTCGATCGATTCGCGCATTCGCTACAGAAAGGGAGAAAGAACGAGCCGAGATTGCGGACACTTTTGAGAAGGTTTACAAGCTTTTTCAACAGTATTTTGTCAGTCAAAAACCTAAGAAAAGGTCTACCGTACTTCTAGAAGGTTTTTGTACTCTAAAGCTTCTAGTTTTAGCTTCATATCCAGCTTAATCTAGAGTCCTTTCTCTATGAAAAGCTAAGAAAAGCTCTACGATACTTTTTTGTACTTTAAAAGCTCTAGTTATAGCTACAGTACTTGATCTAATAAAAGCTAAGAAAAGCTCTACCGTAATCCTATATTGTTGATTATTAGGCTGTAGGCTGACTTACAGTAGGTTTACAGTAGGCTGACTTACAGTAGGCTTACTTATAGTAGGCTTACAGTAGGCTCACTTGCAGTAGGCTTACAGTAGGCTTACTTACAGTAGGCTTACTTATAGTAGGCTTACAGTAGGCTCACTTACAGTAGGCTTACTTACAGTAGGCTTACATACACTAGGCTTACAGTAGGCTTACTTACAGTAGGCTTACTTACACTAGGCTTACAGTAGGCTTACTTACAGTAGGCTTACTGTAAACATTAATTTCAGGTGGAATCACTTCGACTTGATCCCCGAGAGATCGCCTTTATGAAGATGTTGAGTTTGTCGAAAGGTGAGGACTCCGAATCAATCTAACTAACACTTTCTTCGAAAACTAGTCTCTACCGTAATCCCTGTCTTTTCTCCCTCAAAAAGTCCAAGGCTTTTCGATTCTCCCAGGCTGGCAAATAAGAAAACTAGACAAAACAAACAAATGTTTTCACTTGGAAAGGCTGAATAGCTTTTAGAGAACGATTTTTAAGTCTGACTCAGCAGAGTCTCTATAGTAGTATTGGAATAGTACTATTAGCTCACTATAGTACTATTAGAATAGCAAGATTATGGTAGCTAGCCTAGCTTAGCTAGCTTTGACCAGCCTTAGCCTTAGCCAGCCTGAGCTAGCCTTAGCTAGCCTTAGTCTTAGCTAGCCTTATCTAGCCTTAATCTTAGCTAGCTTTAGCCTGGCTACCGTAACCCTAGCTACTGTAACCCTAGCTACCGTAAGCTTGTCTATCGTAAGACTGGCTACCGTAGACCTGGCTATCGTAGGCTTGGCTATCGTAAGCCTGGCTACCGTAAGCTTGGCTACCGTAAGCCTGTCTACCGTAACCCTGACTACCGTAACCCTGATTCCCGTAAATACAATTGTTTACAGTAACTCCTAGCTACCTTGGATTGATTGGAGTGGGATAGGGAGTAGGTTTTACGGTAGCCCTTTCGTCCCTAACTAGCAACCCTGACTATTGCCTTAAACTAACATCTAGCCTTAAAACTACCGTACTCTGACCCAGTCAGCCGGTCCAACTTTTTGAATTTTTGCTCAAAAAAAGAACAAAAACAAGTAAAAGGTCGTGCTGGTTGTGGTTGGTTTTTCTTTCCATCACTTGACCCTTTTTGCCTCCAAACAAAAAATCTCTTTACCCAGCCGGTCTACCGTATTTTTGAGGCACTTTTTTTGGGAATAGGACAACGGATTCTTTGGGTTTTTTGGTTTTTTGGTGAAATTTGCAGTTTTTTTGATTCAAAGAAACTTTTTTAGACGTTTTTTTGACTTTCAAGGTACGAAAGTAGCCTACCGTAAGTTGTCTACCGTAAGGAGCCTACCGTAAGCTCTCTACCAAAGTAGCCTACCGTAAGTAGCCTACCGTAAGCTCTCTACCAAAGTAGCCTACCGTAAGTAGCCTACCGTAAGCTCTCTACCAAAGTAGCCTACCGTAAGTAGCCTACCGTAAGCTCTCTACCAAAGTAGCCTACCGTAAGCTCTCTACCAAAGTAGCCCACCGTAAGTAGCCTATTCGTATCTTGAAGCTTAAATCGTATTCAAATTTTGTAGCAAATTTGTTCTTCTACTTGAGATGCTTAACGGGAAATGGGAAAGTAAAGCTTTTAGAGTTTAATCAGGGTTACTGTAACTCTAACTATCGTAAGTAGTCTACAGTAAGTTGTCTACAGTAAGTTGTCTACAGTAAGTAGCCTACCATAATAGCCTGCCGTACGTAGCCTACCGTAAGTTGTCTACCGTAAGGAGCCTACCGTAAGTAGCCTACCATAATAGCCTGCCGTACGTAGCCTACCGTAAGTTGTCTACCATAGTAGTCTATCGTGCGTAGCCTCCCATAGTAACCTACCATAGTAGTCTATCGTAAGTTGCCTCCCATAGCAGCCTACCGTGAGTAGACAGCTTACGGTAGCCTACCGTAAGCTCTCTACCAAAGTAGCCTACCGTAAGTAGCCTACCATAGTCCTAACTACTGTAATCTAGTTCCGAAGGGCAAGCTTTATATGCAAATATCTTCAATCTCTGAACACGAATTCCAGAGCGAAGTCCTCACTTCGAACAGCTTTGCTTTCACCTGGCCACCTATCAACAAATCGCCTATCGAACGCAGCCATTCAGGTAAATGTTTTGAATGATTTATAATCATATTTATCATTAGGCTTTTCAGAAATTGAGTCTGATTCTAGAATCAGACTCAATTTCTGAAAAAGATTTCTGAATTCACAAAACATCTAATCAACAAAACTCTACTAAATCGCTTTTAGATTTATGCGTTTTATCGAAATTCTTTCTGCGCCCATTGAGAAATCCTTGGTTGATCTCCTTTTTAAACCCTCGATCGGCAACGCATCAATGTCAAGGCTGATTGGTGGGAGTTACTTGGAATTTGGCTTACACAATATAAAAACAATAAAAATAAGCACGCTTTTCGGATTCTCCATAGTCGAAAACCCTTAAATGGAATATGAAACGGGAGGATTTGGAAAGAAAAAGCGGCACAGAGTTGCGCAAATGAACCGGGCTCAGGCCAGCATTTTAAGAAAGCTTTAGAAAGCTTTAGAGATCTTTAAAACCTTTAAAAGCTTTCAATTTTCTATTCTACAAACGATTTCTCGATTTTAAGGCGATTTACTCGCGCCAACATCGACAACCGCGATTCCATTCGCCACTTTGAATCTTTCCACTCCTCCACCACAATCAACTCTCATCCCAGCATTCAATCCGTTCTCATTGGCACAACAATTCGCTCTTCATGCCATCAACCCATTTCAAACAGGTTTGCGAAGAGATATTGGCTACTTTTTGTACTATACAAGTACAAAAATAGTACTTTTGTTCAATTCGACTGTCGCATCTCGGAAATCGAACTTTGAACTCAAATATCTCGGTGTTGGGATTTCCAATTTTAATATTCTTGGTATCGTTAGATGCGCCAAGTCTTTTTCTATCGTTTGGTGCAAAAATTATTTCAATTGGACAGCTCAACACCAAGATATTTGAGTTCAAAGTTTGCCAATGGCCGATGGCAAAGTTTGAGCGCGGCGGACCTTTTATACACACCCCGCCCCCTTTGCCATTGGCAATCAACAAAGCCAGCCCTTTTTCTATTGGCAATCAACAAAGCCAGCCCGTTTTGCCATTGGTAATCAACAAAGCCCGCCCCTTTTCCCATTGCAAACTTTGAACTCAAATATCTTGGTGTTGAGCTGTCCAATTGAAATAATTTTTGCACCAATCGATAGAGAAAGACTTCGCGCATCTAACAATACCAAGAATATTGAAATTGGAAAACCCAAGGCCGAGATATTTGAATTCGAAGTTAGTGGGCAATGGCAAACGAGCACGGCGCGATCAAATGCCTCAAAATCTTCAATTCTGCAGGTGTTTGTCAACCCGGCTCTTCCACTTCTCCATCATCATCAACGAGTCGATCCGAGGGTGAATCCCCAATATCCGAGCCACTCAATCTCGCTGAAACAAAGACAGAGTTGAGAGAAGAAAGCGAGAAAAAAGTCAAGCAAGAGGTGGGATTTTGGAATTTCGTTAACGGATTTCACTAGATATTGAAGGCTAAGTTTTGGTTTAAAATTTGTAGAAAGGCAAAGAAAGGCCAAGAAAGGCCTGGATCTAGACCTGCTTCAGATCTAGACCTCCTTCAGACCTGCTTCAGATCTAGCTTCAGATCTAGCTTCAGATCTAGACCTCCTTCAGATCTCCAGACCTGTTTCAGATCTAGACCTGCTTCAGATCTGCTTCAGATCTCTAGACCTGCTTCAGATCTAGACCTGGCACTACAACCACTTGGAAGCAATGGGGTACCAGGTCCCGGCCAGGATGCCTGTTTTCTGGAAACGCGAGAGCCGGGTGCACTTTAGCCGTCCCTTTTCCGTCGCATCTCTCCTCCTGGAGCGCTGAAGCAGATCTAGAACTGCTTCAGACCTGCTTCAGATCTAGACCTGCTTCTGCTCCTTGCTTTTAGTTCAACCTCTACTGCAGCCTAAGTACAGTAGCTTAAGCTGCAGTAGAGGCTCAAGCTCAAGATCTTAGCAACATTTTTCAACTTAATTTTTCAGCCTCTCCCCAACGCTGACCTCGATGTTGATGTCGATTCGTAGAAAATTTTGAAATTATCTCATTCTATGCATTTCAAATGTTCTGGTCGATTTCTTTTTCCTCTTGCCTATCATTTTTCTTTGATCTTAGCCAAAAAGCTTTTATAATTTAAGCATTTTATTTTATTCTATGTGTGTAAAGAAATATTATTCGCGTGCTTGGTACTCTTCACTCAAGACACGTTATTAGAACCATATTAGAACCATATTAGAACTAAAAACACTTTCTTCAATAGCCGACTGACTCGGAATCTTTGGGCTTTGAGCAATTTTCACACAAGATCGACAATTGAATTAAAAGCGACGATAAAAAAAAAACAGAAAAACAGAAAAACAGAAAAACAGAAACAATTTCGTCCTAATTAGGACACAACTTTCACACAAATGAGAGGAAAGCAGAAAAAAAATGAAAGATAACCAAACCAAATGAACAACAGTTGCCTTATATAGGCTTTAACCCAAGACACTCAGCTAACCAGCTACAAAAACAATAAATGATTTGGGCGCGAGATAGAATGAAGGCGCACCGATTTCCTCAATATTTCTCCAATTTTTTAGGCTGCCAGAGTTAGGCAACTTTTTCGTGGCTATTTGCCACAACGACCATGGCAAAACTAGCCAATTAATTTTTCTTTTGAGTCGATCAAACTTGAAACTTGAACTTTATCAAATGGGGAGCGTTGACGAGGAAAAGGTCAGCAGAAATACGGAAATACGGTGATTATAATAATAATAATAATACTTTATTCAAACGATAAAGTGAAAGAAAGCATAGAGAAATGCACAGTGATACTTAATCATACAATACATACTGAAATCAATAAGCCAATTAATAATGATTTGATCTGTCTTCGCACTTAGCGCAGATCACAACCCGCTTCCACATTTACTGAGGCAGAAGTGTAGTTGTCGTAGCCGATGATACTCCGATGGCCGGGCTGGGGCGCTCGGACAATAAGCCAATTACTTACGGCAAAGAGCCACTAGATCTAAAGCATCGATACGTTTCTTGAATATGAAAAGCGACTGAATTTCTCGTATGTCGTTTGGGAGCAAGTTCCATAATCTAGCGGCTCTAACGGGAAATGAATTTGATAAAGAGGCATTGGAAGCAAAGGGAATTTGCAAAAGGAATGAGCCACTTCTGGGCCCTGACCACGGTTTAAATTTGAAAAAGTCTATAAACAAAGGGCTAATTGGGTAAAGGAAATTGATGATATTGGATTGGTTAATTGAAAACTGCGAGCTATGTGACAGTTTGAGGACTTTCTTCAAAAGAAACCCATTTTGGTGTCAATGGAAAAATTGTAGTGTTCTTGGTGCGGCCGCGTAATCGCTCGTCATCTGGCGCAGGGCTTTTACATAACCCCCTTCCCTGTCGCTTTGCGAATCTAATCTGGCCGGCTTCGAATCCTCAAATTGGACAAAAATAAAACACGACGAAAGACTGAAAAATTCTTTGCTCTGCTTTGCTTTGCTTTGCTCTGCTTTTCTTTGGCCTTTAACTTCTATTATCTTCTTCTGGCTAATCATAAAGATCTTGGTCTGATTCAGGCCTTGATCTATCGAATTCCAAGGTAAGTTCTATTTGCTTTCTTGGGAGAGGTTTTTAAATTCAACGAATCTACACATTTTATACCTCATTCAAAAGCTGAATTCAACGCGAAAAAAGAAGAAAAATAGCTTTTGAATTTATATAGTTTTGAAGTTTTTACAAGCATTTTAGTGAGCTCTGTCAGACCTAAAAAAGTGCCGAAATTGCGTTTCAATAGTTTTTTTTTTGTTTGAAAAAGCTTTCTTTTCAAAAATCTAGTACAAACGTTTCAATGGATAGGCTAATTTCCGCAATTTTCTTTTGCGCAACGGGGCATTTGCGCAACTGGGTCGTTTGCGCAACCAGGTCCTTTACGCAACTCGCCATAACTTTCTTCGAAGTCAGCCAATCTTTTATGATTTTTGTTTCATTTTGTTGTAGTTATTGAGATCTACAAAATGAAACCAAAATCATAAAGATTGGTCGACCTAGAAGAAAGTTATGGCGAGAGAAGAGAGTCGCGGGTTGCGGAAACGACCCAGCGGCACAAACGGCCCAGTAGCCCAAACGACCCAGTGGCGCAAACGACCCAGTGGGGCAAGAGATCCAGTAGCCCAAACGGCCCAGTAGCCCAAACGACCCAGCGGCCCAAACGACCCAGTGGGGCAAGAGATCCAGTGGCCCAAGCGACCCAGTGGGGCAAGAGATCCAGTAGCCCAAACGACCCAGTGGGGCAAGAGATCCAGTAGCCCAAACGACCCAGTAGGGCAAGAGATCCAGTGGCCCAAGCGACCCAGTGGGGCAAGAGATCCAGTAGCCCAAACGACCCAGTGGGGCAAGAGATCCAGTAGCCCAAACGACCCAGTAGGGCAAGAGATCCAGTGGCCCAAGCGACCCAGTGGGGCAAGAGATCCAGTAGCCCAAACGACCCAGTGGGGCAAGAGATCCAGTAGCCCAAACGACCCAGTAGGGCAAGAGATCCAGTGGCCCAAGCGACCCAGTGGGGCAAAAGATCCAGTGGCCGAAACGACCCAGTGGCCCAAACGACCCAGTGGGGCAATTAAAATTGCGGAAATTAGCCTACCGCCTAGTTTTTATTGGAGTTTTGCTTTTGGCGAGTTCCAGTCTTAAGGTACCTTACGATTAATGGATTTGTCAAAATAGATTAGCTGGATAACGATCGATAACAAGCTAGGGTTCTTATTGATCACCTGGTTCTCTACCTCTAGCCAATCTTGGCCCTGTTTCAATTCTCCAACTCCAGGATAGTTCAATTTAGATCATTTTTCACAAAATAGAGAAAAAAACAATAGAGCAATAGAACTTTATTCACAAATAATGACTTAAACCTCAAATTACTTCAACTTAAACCTCAAATTGCTTAAAGGAAGTTAAAGGAAGTTAAAGGAAGTTAAAAGAAAAGAAAAAGAATACTGTGTTTGTTTTTTTTGAGCACCGTGTCATCCGAAATTCGAAAAATTCGAAAAAATCGCAAAAGAAACAAAAAAGACAAAGATTTACATAAAAATAAATATAAAATGAGTTAGGAAATCAAATTTTTAAATTTAGAAGACTTTAAATGAATTTAGAAGACTTTAAAAGACTTTAAATGACTTTAAATGACTTTAAAAGACGACTTTAAACGACTTTAAATGACTTTAAATGAATTTAAAAGACTTTAAATGACTTTAAAAGACGACTTTAAATGAATTTAAATGACTTTAAATGACTTTAAACGACTTTAAACGACTTTAAATGGCTTTAAATGACTTTAAATGACTTTAAATGACTTTAAATGAATTTAAAAGACTTTAAATGACTTTAAAAGACTTTAAATGACTTTAGATGACTTTAAAAGACGACTTTAAACGACTTTAAACGACTTTAAATGAATTTAGAAGACTTTAAAAGGCCTTTAAAAAACTTTAAACGACTTTAAATGACTTTAAAAGGCCTTTAAAAGACTTTTAAATTCTTTTAAAGACTTTAAATGACTTTAAACGAATTTAAATGACTTTAAAACAATTCCTGGATTTTCGTGTGTGGTTTTTCGAGGCGATAAGTGAAAAACAAGCATAAAACAAGCAAAAAATTAGCATAAAATGAAAAAGAGCGCATAGATTTGGTCCATTTACACAAGAAAAACCATTGTTATAAAGTAGATTTCCAAAAAAAGAAACATAAAAATGATATTAAATGATATTAAATCTACAAAAACACATCGCCTTCGTCGATTCGTTGCAATTTCAGCGAATTCAGCGAATTTTTCGGCGATTTTCGCCCACGAGGCCCTCGGGGGCTAAAGATTTTTTTGATTTTAGATTTCAAATATATACCTAGATATGTAGCTTTGATGTTAGATAGGAAAAGTTGTAATATTGATGTAGAATTGCGCTTAATGAGCAGGATAATGTATAGCTAATGAAAGGCTAATGTAAGGCTGTAGTAAGGCTAATGTAAGGCTAATGTAAGGCTGTAGTAAGGCTAATGTAAGGCTAATGTAAGGCTGTAGTAAGGCTAATGTAAGGCTGATGTAAGGCTGATGTAAGGCTAATGTAAGGCTAATGTAAGGCTGTAGTAAGGCTAATGAAAGGCTGATGTAAGGCTAATGTAAGGCTGATGTAAGGCTAATGTAAGGCTGATGTAAGGCTGATGTAAGGCTGTAGTAAGGCTAATGTAAGGCTGATGTATAGCTAATGTAAGGCTAATGTAAGGCTAATGTAAGGCTAATGAAAGGCTAATGAAAGGCTAATGTAAGGCTGTAGTAAGGCTAATGTAAGGCTGATGTAAGGCTGATGTAAGGCTGTAGTAAGGCTAATGAAAGGCTAATGTAAGGCTAATGTAAGGCTAATGTAAGGCTAATGTAAGGCTGTAGTAAGGCTAATGTAAGGCTAATGTAAGGCTGATGTAAGGCTAATGTAAAGGGACAAGAGTCAGGCCCAGCTTTCGCCTTCAGAGCTGATCTACCGGCTGCAGGGCTAAACAAGGGACTTATCTGAAGGTTGATCAGCCCTGAAGCTAGGTCCAGCCTACTGGCTAATTAAGCTATTCAGCAATTTTTGTGTGCCAGTTCAAGCTGGTTCGAATCCAGGTGAAAGCCATGATTGAAACAGCTTAGAGCCAGTTCAGAGCTAGTTCAGAGCCAGTTCAGAGCCAGCTCAAAGCCAGATTAGAGCCAGCTTAGAGCCAGTTCAGAGCCAGTTCAGAGCCAGCTCAAAGCCAGATTAGACCCAGTTCAGAGCCAGTTCAGAGCCAGTTCAGAGCCAGTTCAGAGCCAGTTCAGAGCCAGTTCAGAGCCAGTTCAGAGCCAGTTCAGAGCCAGTTCAGAGCCAGTTCAGAGCCAGCTCAAAGCCAGATTAGAGCCAGTTCAGAGCCAGTTCAGAGCCAGCTTAGAGCGACGATGTAGATATAAAAACCCATACCGGCTCTTATTCGGGTGATTGAGAAGACCGAAAACGGGTGGCGATGACATGTCAATAGCGAACTCATCTCGACAAGGGGAAAACGATCTGGAAATGGAAAAGATGGAGAAGATGGAGAAGATGGAGAAGATGGAAAGATCGATTCGTAAACAAATCTCACCGTTCATCTGATGAAGAGAGATCTTCCGACGAGGCGACTGGGGCCAGAGAGGGTAACTCGTGCGTTAATTTATCTCTGAAAAATTTGTTAGAAAAGATTTTGTTTGTTTGAAGATATCCAACTTTTCCGTGGTCAAGAAATCGAGTTGTTCCTCGAAGAGCAGCTTGCATTGTTCGTGTGACTCGGCTGATGGACCTCGACTGATGTGCTCAGTGATCTTTCGAATGTTCTCTTCCACCTGAACAAAGAACAACTTAGTATGTACATGTACAATGTACATTCTGTGCTATGTACAAATCTATTAACATCTCTTCTTCGATACCTTTTCTTGAGCCGCTTCCAACTCGACAATGTTTATGAGAGTGACTCGATATTGTCGGAGTTTCTCCTCGATCAGCGCTTGTACACAAACGGCTTGGCGAGAGACCTAGATTTTATTTCAGAATTTCAGAACTTCAGAACTTCAGAATCTCAGCTGTTCAGAGAATTTTCTTTAGTCACTTACATCAACTAGTGTATCTTGTGCATGCACAGCGTGCTGTCTCCTCATCAGACACGGGCCAAAGATCAGCGCCAAGTTTGAGGCGCCCATCCGATTGACTGGCTCCTGGAATTTCAGCGCATCAACAAAGGAGGTCTTTGGAATGTGTTGAGCACAAAGTGCACTTGAAAGAGCAATCAAAATCGCTTTAGATTTTGATTGCTTTTAGTTGATTACGGTAGTTGCTTTACCGTAGCTTATGCACAAGCTACGGTGAAGCAACTACCGTAATCAACTACTGTAATCAACTACTGTAACCAATACCGTAATCACTAACCGTAACCAATTACCGTAACCAACTACCCTAATCCCTACCGTAACCAACTACCGTAATCAGCTACCGTAACCAACTACCGTAATCCCTACCGTGATCAACTACCGTAACCAGCTACCGTAGTCGCTACCGTAATCCCTACCGTAATCAACTACCGTAACCAGTTACCGTAACCAGCTACCGTAGCCAGCTACCGTAGCCAGTTACCGTAACCAACTACCGTAATCCATACCGTAATCAACTACCGTAGTCCCTACCGTAATCAACTACCGTAACCAGCTACCGTAACCTCCTACCGTAATTCCTACCGTAATCCCTACCGCGATCAGCTACCGAATCAACAACCGTAGTCCCTACCGTAACCAACTATCGTAATCCCTACTGTAATCCCTACCGTAATCACCACCGTAATCAATTACCGTAACCACCTACCGTAATTCCTACCGTAATCCCTACTGCGATCAGCTACCGTAACCAACTACCGTAAATCCCTACCGTAATCCCTACCGTAATCCCCACCGTAATCAACCACCGTAACCAACAACTGTTTTAAAGTCAGGGTACGGTAGCTTTCCCACTTCACATCTTAAGATCAGCCTTAGACGATCTAGATAATAACCTGATGAGCCACTCTAGCCAAATGGTACATCAAACGATCCAGCACACATTTATTGTTCTTAGGCAAAAGATCAATCATCACAGAGAGACACCGAACTCGTTCAGCCACTGCTGTCACCTCTGTAAACTCGGCTTTAAAGCTCAGCAAACTCGGCTTCAACTCTCACAAACCTGATACATTCAAAAAGTTCTCATAAAGATCATAAGTGATTAATGGATCCGGGAGTTCTCGAAAGAAGGATTTGACGAGAGTGGAGAGGACGTGCACTGGGATATCATCGACAGTCACTTCATCAACACCTGAATACTTTTATCTATGCACTGATTAGCGTACGACTGTCGTAATCTCTTTAAAAAGCTATTTTATCTAACTGTCTACTGTATACAATAGTGTAGTTTACTTTAGTTAAGCTTTAGATACTGTAGCCTAACTAGGGAAGATCTTAAAATGATCTATCCTATCTTGTTCAGTTTTAAAGAAGCTTTTCCTTAGTGGCTGAAAGCTTTGGGTTAGTTTTGGCTAGGTAAGTAGCCAGTACAGTAGCTAGTACAGTAGCCAGTACAGTAGCTAGTACAGTAGCTAGTACAGTAGCTAGTACAGTAGCCAGTACAGTAGCTAGTACAGTAGCCAGTACAGTAGCTAGTACAGTAGCCAGCCAGTACAGTAGCCACTACAGTAGCCAGTACAGTAGCTAGTACAGTAGCCAGGTTAGTTTTAGCTCTTTTGTAAGGCTTTCTAGATTGACCTTCATGTGGTAGAGAGGTAGTACGAGAGACTACAAAGTTCTTGATCTTAGTTCGACTGTCCTGTTCGACTGACTGTCCAACTGTCCCCCTTGTCCTCCTGAACTGTACTCTAACCTCTAACCACTGTAACTCTAACCTCTAACCATAGCCTACCGTACCTTAGATTTACTTTACTTCCCGTTCTCTAGCTAGAATACAAGAATCCAAATAAGAGCTTCTCAATAAATGCAAATTTCTCACCGGCAGCCGTCTCGATGGCTCGTCTTGCCACGCGGACTTGTGCCATGCTCCCACTTTTCCTAAATCGATAATTAGCTTATATTGATAGGCTTATCTTTCAAAGATAAGCTTCTCAATACAAGCTTCTCAATCTAAGCTTCTCAATACAAGCTCCTCAGTACAAGCTTCTCAATACAAGCTCCTCAATAAGCTTCTCAATCTAAGCTTCTCAATACAAGCTCCTCAATCTAAGCTCCTCAATACAAGCTTATCAATACAAGCTTCTCAATACAAGCTTCTCAATCTAAGCTTCTCAATACAATCTTCTCAATCTAAGCTTCTCAATCTAAGCTTCTCAATCTAAGCTTCTCAATACAAGCTTCTCAATCTAAGCTTCTCAATCTAAGCTTCTCAATCTAAGCTTCTCAATACAAGCTTCTCAATCTAAGCTTCTCAATCTAAGCTTCTCAATACAAGCTTATCAATCTAAGCTTCTCAATAGGCTTAAGATCTATTTATTATCTCTTTCATCTTCACCGATACAATCCTTCAACGAAAAGCGCCCGCAGCTCGATCGTCGTCAAGAGTTTGTTGAGCACTGCTGGGATTCCCTGGAGAAATTTGCATAATCAAATTCCGATATTCATAGCTTTATAAACTTAGATTTTAAGCAACTTCTCGAAATTCCAAAAATTTAGATACCTGTTCATCTTCAGCCAACGAGGTGATCGTGGCGCCGAAAAAGCGACCGCTTGACTGAAATTTTAGAGCTTTTAGAATTTAGAAAAGGGATTAGCAAATTATAGAGCTAGATTAATATCCTTTAAAAGATACATTCCACTGTGCCAGATACAATGCGTTTACTTTTGAGCATAAAGAACATTGACTTACGGTCCCGGTTGGCGCTTGAGCCATCATGCAAGCTGCTGAGATCTTTGTGTGACAGCGCTTGTGCACCTGGAAAGTCGCTCTAGTCCAGTTAGCTACAGTAGTTTGGCTACAATAGTCTTTACAGTAGTCTAACTAGCTACAGTGGCCTTTACAGTAGTCCTTAAAGTAGTCTAACTAGCTACAGTAGTCTTTACAGTAGTCTAACTAGCTACAGTGGCCTTTACAGTAGTCTAACTACCTACAGTAGCCTTTAGAGTAGTCCTTAAAGTAGTCTAACTAGCTACAGTAGCCTTTACAGTAGTCCAGCTACCGTACCAGATGCTTCAGCTACTAAACTGGACGCTATCTCATAACTGGCTACAACTACAATATCTACTGTAGGAATTACCGTAGCTAGTTCAGGAGGAAAGTTCAGCTTCTATTGATAAGTTCACTAGGTGAAACATTCGATAAAACTCAGGCACGATAGTTGAATTACTACCATAGCTGGGGATCAAGGTAGAATAAAACCAGATTACTGTAGCTAAGCAGCAGATTTACATCTTAAACTATTTACCGATATTTTACACGTTGTGCAGATAAAAATCTTCTCCGCGTGCCACATGAACTCATTGCAAAGCTCACAATATGTGGGTACGTGTACGAAGTCGCCACGGAAACGATGCCCAGCGTGGATCTGGAAGAAAGAAATGGTTATTGGATTATCTAGATTACTGTAGCTACAATAGCCAGGTACAGTAGTCAACTGGTAACTAGGTTACTGTAGCTAGAGTAGCAGGTACAGCACCCAGGTACAGTAGCCAAATGGTAACTGGGTTACTGTAACTACAATAGCCAGGTACTGTAGCCAGGTACAGTAGCCAGGTACAATAGCTAACTGGTAACTAGATTACTGTAGCTATAGTAGCCAGGTACTCTAGCCAGCCAGGTACTCTAGCCAGCCAGGTACTCTAGCCAGCCAGGTACTCTAGCCAGCCAGGTACTGTAGCCAGGTACAGTAGCCAACTGGTAACTAGATTACTGTAGCTACAGTAGCCAGGTACAGTGGCCAGGTACAGTAGCCAGGTACTGTAGCCAGGTCCTGTGGCCAGGTGCTGTAGCCAGGTACAGTAGCTAACTGGTAACTAGATTACTGTAGCTACAGTAGCCAGGCACCGTAGCCAGGTACTGTAGCCAGGTAGTGTAGCCAACTGGTAACTAGATTACTGTAGCTACAGTAGCCAGGCACCGTAGCCAGGTACTGTAGCCAGGTACTGTAGCCAGGTACTGTAGCCAACTGGTAACTAGGTTACTGTAGCTATTTGTATATAGAAGTGATTCAGGGAAAAGATTTGTGAATGTAAATTGTAATTTTGTTGGTTATTTTCCACTCATTTACCACAGTGACATCAGAGCGCCGACGTTTCTTTCGATAACTCTGAAAAAAATCAACAACTCTAAAAAAAATCGACAACTACAGCACTTCTATATAAGAAATCAAGGGCGCTGATGTTAAAATGGCTTTTAAAAACAGATATTTACCCGAATGATCCCCGTTTTCTGCCGATTTTTCTTCAATTTCGATTGCTGTGAGACGAACTCGTTGAGAAAACCGCGAAACGCGTTCACGCCAAGTGGAAGCGGGAAAGTCACCTTCTCCTCGCGACAAACCGGTAATTTTTTTATATTTATTTATTCCCTAATACTCTAATTATCATAAGCATCACCCTAGCATTGTCATTATTTATTTAGAGCTTCAATCTTCTTCATCAATCATCAATCTTCTTCATCAATCACCGTAATCTCCTTCCAATTCCCCAACCAACCTTTGTCAGTAAACCCTCGAACGTTGTGATGAGATCCTTGTATCGGAGAACTGTTCGTTCTTCCTAAATTCTTGAAAATGTTTTACAGAAGATTACTAAACTCACCGTCAGTACAGCCTCGTATCCGATCAACTCCATGTGAAATTCCCGCATCGATTTCTTGAACAATGAGTCCACGATCGTGTCCCGTTTCTTTTTGTCCTGAATTGAATTGTCGTTTTTGTCCTGTGCTCACCGTAACCCTGAATCCCTCCAGCTACCGTAACCTTGAATCCCCTCCAGCTACAGTAACCCTGAATCCCTCCAGCTACCGTAACCCTGAAGAATCCCCTCCAGCTACAGTAACCCTGAATCCCTCCAGCTACCGTAACCCTGAAGAATCCCCTCCAGCTACAGTAACCCTGAATCCCTCCAGCTACCGTAACCTTGAATCCCCTCCAGCTACAGTAACCCTGAATCCCTCCAGCTACCGTAACCTTGAATCCCCTCCAGCTACAGTAACCCTGAATCCCTCCAGCTACCGTAACCCTGAAGAATCCCCTCCAGCTACCGTCACCCTGGATCCCTCCATCTACCGAACAATTACAGTACCCATTGATTGAGAAAATACGACAGGCAGTACTTCAAAGCTAAGCCAGAGCCAAATCCAGATCTGGCAGGGTTGGACTATGTGGGATTTCATTGTTGACCAGCCAAGACCAGAAATCGCATCAGATTTGGCTTCTGATCAAAATCCAATACGGTAGATTGGTACCTGATCAAGAATAGTCAACTTTTTGAACATAAACACGGAGAAGAGCCTCAAATCGTCGACACACTCCACCACGAGACTCATCGGATCCGTCTGAATAATAGATCAAGTACAACGAACTGCTAAGTACAACAAACTACTAAGTACAACTAACTACAGCTTCGTCCAACTAGTTGGCTTTAGTTCTTTACCTGTTGTTTCGTTTGTGTGAGATTGAAAGTTGGATGGGTGGAGGTGGCAATCCGTGGAAGTTGAGCAGAGGATGGACTGCCGGATTGACGAGCTTGGCGAGAGCCGCTAGATTCGATTTTAGTATCCCTGATGAATTATAGCCAAGTATAGCCAAAGCATAGCCAAGCATAGCCAAAGCATAGCCAAAGCATAGCCAAAGCATAGCCAAAGCATAGCCAAAAACCAATTCACCGTATCTCCCAGGGTTTTCTTGGTGGCTCTAAACGTGTCGGCGATCGAAGCGGTGAAGTGGGTGAGCAGGGTAAAGATGGCGCGAAAGATGAGCACTCTTTGTGGAAAGTCATCTTGCAACCTGGAACAAAAGAAATGAGACTTTTGTTGAGCTATCTTGTGATCTTGTATCTTGGGAAAACTCACGAGAACATTTGAGCGCTTGGGCAAGCAATCCGGAGAGTTGCTTTGCGCAAAGGGCGCACGGTTCGGCTCGACGCAATCGTTGAACTTTTAGGGAATGAATGTCGGGATGACTGAAATCAGAGATTAGCTAGAGAGCTTTAGCTAGAGAGCTAGAGAGCTTTAGCTAGAGAGCTTTAGCTAGAGAGCTTTAGCTAGAGAGCTTTAGCTAGAGAGCTTTAGCTAGAGCTTTAGCTAGAGAGCTTTAGCTAGAGAATGCTCTTTTCTCGAAGTTGAGAATCGATTCAAGAGGTGTATCTTATAGAATCAGAAATGTGGATTCAGAAATTGCAAAAATTAGCTCCGGACTCGCACGGAAACGCGAGGAATCTGGCATGGAGATAGGAGAAGATTTCGAGCTCTATGAAGCTGTGAAAAGGAGACTTTGAGTTGACTAAGCTTGCGAGGAAGTTTGCGAGGAAGCTTGCGACTAGCTTGCGACTAGCTTGCGACTAGCTTGCGACTAGCTTGCCGACTAGCTTGCGACTAGCAAGTTCTCAGTGTTGTTGGGTTAACAATGATTGACTGTTTGTTGAAACCTTGTGGATGGATGATCATCATCTCCTTCGGAAACAGCTCCACTGTCACTTCTCCTCCCAAAAAGTCCCTCGACAACGCCTTTCAAATTTCGTTTCGCCTTTTGGAAACCGATTTTCCCGCTTCCCGTTTTCTTCTTCGTGATCACGTTTGAGAGCTGAATTTCGAGATTTCGAGATTCTTTAAACCTGTATTCTCTTAAATTTTCAAATATTTTTACTTACGATACTCGGTGAGGAATTTTGAGCAATTTAGCTTTAGAATTTGGTTTAAAATTTAGCTTTAGCTTTAGAAGTTAGCTTTAGAATCTAGCTTTAGCTTGACGATTTAGCTTTAAAATCTAGCTTGACAATTTAACTTTACAATATAGCTTTACAATTTCCTTACCGTACGGCAATTTCCTTCCTTACCGTGAGCAATTTAGGGTAGCTTTACAAGTCTACTGTACTGTACAAGTCTACTGTACTGTACAAGTCTATTGTACTGTACAAGTCTACTGTACTGTACAAGTCTACTGTACTGTACAAGTCTACTGTACTGTACAAGTCTATTGTACTGTACAAGTCTATTGTACTGAAGTCTATTGTATTGTACAAGTCTACTGTATTGTACAAGTCTACTGTACTGTACAAGTCTACTACAGCAGTAGTCTGACCAGTACTATTGCAATCTTGACTACAATCTTTAGGCTACAGTAACCAGCATAAATAGTACAGCAGTAGTCTGACCAGTACTACTGCAATCTTGACTACAATGTGCAGGCTACTGTAACCAGTACAGTAGTAAGCCAAGCTACAGTAACCACTATCAACAGTAAGCTATAGTGACCAGTACTACCGTAATCTTGGCTACAATCTGTAGGCTGCAGTAACCATTTTTTCCTAGAAGAGGCAAGTTTACGGTAGTATGGGAATACATTTTCGAGAACGGACTAAAAACAAAGCTTCACCTCATCAAGCGTTCTCAATGTTTCCCCTTTTCTCGCAATTTGATCACTTTCCGTGCTTGCCGCTCGTCGCAACATTTTCAATTTCGCCGTTGATGCGGTCGCGGCCAAGCTCTGACGTCGGTGGAAAGCGTTTTCCGTTGGCTCTTCTCTGCAAATCCACTCTACAACTAAATCCAGATCGATTCTTACTCGATCAGCTTTAGCTTTGTGTCCTCAAGTGTGAAAGCGACATCCAAATCAACATTGTCATCGCTAAAATGTAAAATGGCTTCTTTAAAGTCTTCTTTAAAGCTTTAATGGCTTCTTTAAAGTCTTTAATGACTTCTTTAAAGGCTCCTTTAATGGCTTCTTTAATGGCTTCTTTAAAGTCTTTACTGATTCTTTAAAGTCTTTAATGGCTTCTTTAAAGGCTTCTTTAAAGGCTTCTTTAAAGGCTTCTTTAAAGGCTTCTTTAAAGGCTTCTTTAAAGGCTCCTTTAATGGCTTCTTTAAAATCTTTAATGGCTTCTTTAAAGTCTTTACTGATTCTTTAAAGTATTTACTTGTAATTCCCAAAAACATCTCCTTCCGAAGGTGTCAAATCTAATCCATCATCGGATTCTTCTCCCGATGAGCACTCATCAGATGAGGTGGCGAACTGGAATTTGAAAGTACTCCATTGTACAATGAAAGTACAATGCACAATGGATTGTCAAGTTTACCAGTGAACCAGTGATCGTAAACAGACTACGCAATGCTCCTATAGAGCTGTTTAAAGCAAGAACAACAAGCCAAACCTCAGCCAATGACGCTGGATTGTTGAGATCAAATTTCGGGAGTTGAAATGTGTGAATTTTGGTGATGTGGAAACGGTTAGCACCTTTTCGTGGGATGTCGCCGATTCTAAAAACATTTATATGTCGTAGCCGATGGAGGATTTCAGCGAATTATATCTCGGTTGGTATTATTTTGGTATTATTGTTTATTTTTGTTGTTTAGTTTGGTCGAAAAATGCAACTTGCAATGAAAAATGCAAAATGCAACTGCAACTAGAATGCGTTTTTAGCTTTTAAGCGCCTTTTAGAGAGTTTGCTTGAGTTTGTGGTATTGACTTCAGTCAATACAGAACTCAAGATTTCATTTTTGACACTTCTTCGGCTAGCCGAAGAAGTCTGAGACTTAATCGGCTGAAATCCTTCATCGGCTACGACATATACATTTTGAATTGAGTTGAAACTATTGAGTTGGTGAATTGAAAACTGCCAAACTTTGACGACTTTAAGTTTGACTTGAACTTTATTCAACATAAAACCACAAATCCATTCCAAATAATTTCCATTATTATTGACGACTTCTGCCCATTTTATAGGCAATTTGCGGATTCCTCTTTCGTAGTAGGATTTTGGTTTGTTTGTGAGACTCAGACTCAACAATGGAGGACTGGTGATGTCAGTTTGAGACTCAGTTTGAGCACTTTCTTCAAAAGAAACGCATTTTGGTGTCAATGGGAAAGTTGTAGAGAATAAAAAATTAGGCTTATAGTCAAATTTTCAAAAAGATACACTTAGCCGTTTCGCTTAAAATGCAAGTTTTGTGAAAACTCGTAATCGAAAATCGAAAATTTCGCATTTCTTGAAAACCAGTTTTTGAATCGTTCTGAAAATTTGGATATAAGCTTCATTTTTGATTCTCTACAACTTTTCCATTGACACCAAAATGGGTTTCTTTTGAAGAAGGTCCTCAAACTGTCACACATGACAATAGCTCGCAGTTTTCAATTCACCAATCCAACAGATTGAGATTAGCCTTGATTTGAGGACAAGTCAATGTCCAATTTGAGGATTCAGAGCCAGCCAGATTAGTTTGGCAGAGGGAGAGGGAAGGGGCTTATGTAAAAGCCCTGCGCCAAACGACGAGCGATTACGCGGCCGCACAAAGGCCGCATATTTCCACAATAGCCCACAATCTTCAATTCACCAATCCAATATCATCAATTTCCTTTACCCAATCACCGTATTTCCGTATTTCTGCTGACCTTTTCCTCGTCAACGCTCCCCTATACGCTGCTTGAAGTGCCAGAATCGAGCTTTTCAACTGATTGTACCGTTTCTCTTCTCGATATCTGAAAAGTTCTCGATGTTGTGATTGGATTTTATTTGAGGGTTTCTTGAGATTAAATCTGGTTTAGCTTGTCCTACAGATCATGATATTAAGAGAAAGAAAGCCTGGCAAAACCCAGTTCTCAAGAAATCAATAATATTACCAAACTAGATTCAGTCTAAGATCTAAGCCTAAGCCTAAGCCTAAGCCTTTCCAGCTCACCGCCTCCAATTTGCTTGTATGACGAGTGCCGCATAACTCTCATGGCGTAATCGATTTCGCAGCTGCATTCCACGGAACATTGCTTGGATTCGGATGACTCCATTCCGCAATCGGAGGTACTTCTTTCGCGCGAGAACCGTTCGAAACCATCTGGAAACATGATTTGTTGCGTACTATAGTAGAATACTTATGGGTGACTTAATACTTATGAGTTAAACCCTTACGGTAATCAATTGTAGCTAAAAAATGGGGGAAATGACGCAAGATCAGGGCTAATAGAGAGTTTCGATAAAGATACAAACGTTTTCTCAGCGCAAAATCAAAACTAGAACCAGTGGAATGGCCAGGACTCGTGGAATGGCCAGAGGAATGCCAGAGCCAGTGGAACGGCCAGAGGAATGGCCAGAGCCAGTGGAATAGCCAGAGCCAGTGGAATGACCAAAGCCAATGGAATGGTTACTTCACCCAAGAGAATTAGGACTTTAAGAGCTCCATTAGATAGCAACTACCCAAAGTAAGACTCCCGTTCAGCCAGTAGGACTTTAAGGGTAGGTATTCACTACTCAAAGCTGAGAATTGAGCAAAATTGGCTACTCCATCGAATTCTCCATATCAAAAAACCCAAGTTCTCGAATTTTCAGTAAATTTGTTTAACTTTAACGATTCTAAAAGGTTTTTCCCGTTTCTTGGGTAATTAAACCGGTAGGGTTTTGAGTAGGATTAGGCCAAAAGGCGAGGGTTTACGGGAGAGCACAGAGTACACGGGGTAAGCCAAACAGCTTGCCAAACCTTTGCAGAGTGACAATATGTTGCATGATCGTTCGATGGAGGAAATCGTCAAGGATCAACTTCTCAGCGTCACGCATGAACACCTGACATTGATGATTGATGTCTTAATGTCTGAATTTTCTCATTCAAACCTTTGTCAACCCATACTGCACATTGTCTTCTTGTATCAGTGGATGATTTTGGATGAAATTCTTCACATCTTCTTCTTGACTTTCCCGACCGTACGGCAAAAGGATACGGTATTGATTGATGAATGCCTGGAAATGGGAATGTTTGGGTAAAGCCTAAGCCGTAACCATTTCAGGGACAAGCCAGATTAGTTGGGTTGGCCTGAGTTGGCCGGGCCTAGTCTCCAACAAGACCTAAGCCTAGGTGAACCTGAGCCTGAATCTGAGCCTGAGCCTAAGCCTGAACCTGGGCCTGAGTCTAATCCCAAGCCTAAGTCTAAGCCTGATCCTAAGCCTAAACCTGAGCCGAAGCCTGAGCCTGAATCTGAATCTGAGCCTGAGCCTAAACCCGAACCTAAGCCTCAGCCTCGCCTCAGCCTGAACCTAAGCCTGAGCCTAAATCTGAGCCTGAGCCTAAGCCTAAACCTAAGCCAGAGCCTTAACCTGAACCTAAGCCTGAACCTAAGCCTCAGCCTGAACCTAAGCCTCAGCCTGAACCTAAGCCTCAGCCTGAACCTAAGCCTGATCACCGAAAACCCCCAAACCCAAATGGACTCAGTCTTAGCCGAGACTGAGTCCAAGTCTGAGCCTAGGTTGGACACGTTGATCCTCCTATTCCTATGGGTTGGGACTGGGTCATCGATCAGCGCCGGGATTCGAATCAGCAACCTCTCGCTTACCGGGCGAATCCAATGAGCTATACCCTAAGCTGTACCAAGGTAGAAATTCCATGAAATTGACCTAAACCTAGATTTTACTGGTTTAGCTTGACCTGGAAACAGCCTGGGAAAACTACTTGAGTCAATCAAAGTCTAGCTTGGCCTATAGCCAGAGTCAGTTCCAAATCTTACTTGGCACTCACAAGAACACCAAGAGATCCTAAAAGTCAGCTTTTGCTAGGCTATAATACACTCTAACAATCCTTTCACTAGATACCTGATACTCGATTCTGACACTGTAGCCGGCTCGTCGAATCCGCACCGTTTCCAGCATTCCCGTGTAGCGCAATTGTCGCAAAATAATGTCCTCATCGAAATGATTGGCTATCTAGAGAAATTTCGACTTTAAACAGTCTTTGTTACCACTTTGATCTGCTATAAAATGAAAGGAATACCTTCTCATTGTTGCTCTTGATGCAGCGGATAAAGTAAGGCGTAGCGGCGCCTAGTGTTGACATCAAGCTGTAAAGTCCAGGTTTTGAGAGTTGAGAAACTGATTACCGTATCAAGCTGTACTCGAATTGTCGCGAGACTGAGGCTGGCTTTGCGGAGGTGACACGGCGACGACCGATCGCCTCACGGAGGATCTAGCGAGTGGTATAATAACCCTACCGTAATCCTACAGTAACCATATCGTAGCCCTACCCTAACCCTACCGTAGCCCTGCCGTAGTCCTACTGTAACCCTACCGTAACCCCGCCGTAACTCTACCGTAATCCTACGGTAGGACTACTGTAACCCTACCGTAGCCCTGCCGTAGGACTACTGCAGTCCTACCGTAGCCCTGCCGTAACTCTACTGCAACCCTACCGTAACCCTACCGTAGTCCTACTGTAACCCTACCGTGACCCTACCGTAGCCCTACCATAATCCTACTGTAACCCTACCGTGACCCTACCGTAGCCCTACCATAATCCTACTGTAACCCTACCGTGACCCTACCGTAGCCCTACCATAATCCTGCTGTAACCCTACCGTAGCCCTACCATAATCCTACTGTAACCCTACCGTGACCCTACCGTAGCCCTACCATAATCCTACTGTAACCCTACCGTAACCCTTCCGTAGTAGCAGCTACAGTAACACTAGTGTCAAAAGTAACCTTAGTTACAGTAACCTTGATAACTTGTAACCCTTTGATGCAGCCCTGCCAGCGGCAACTCTAACAACCACATCAATTCTTAGATACCTAGCTATCGATTATAGCCATCATAACCCTCACTATTTTCTACCTTTACTCTTACTATTATACAGTAATTCACCTGCAAACTTTTCAAAGTAGAGAGCCGTTCTTTCTGTGGTCGATGCATGCTTCGACGGGCTTGTGAGGTAATTGTGCCAAAAACAGACGTGTCACAGAAATCCGGGATGGAGAGGCTAAAATGATATTGATGATTTCCAAAAAAATAGACTCACCGTAGTTCTCCGCGAAGAAAAGCGGATAGCTGAGAGTCGGATGAGCGTCGGCCTCTCGATGGATCTTCGTCTCGAACTCCCAAATGACCAGCGCTTTCTAGAAAGTGATGGAGTGTGAAATTTGGAGAATAGATTTAAATCTAATAGCTAGATATTGATTAATGTCACTTAGAGCTTAGGTATTAGAGGTTAGTAACTTTAAAGCTACTGTAATTCCTTACCACTTCGCTGAATTTTCCTGCCAGCTTGCTTGAAAGCGTAGAGTGCTCGGAAGACTGATCGAATCAAAGTCCATCTGGAAATTGAGACAATTTCTGGAGCTACAGTAATCTAGCTACAATAATCTAGCTACAGGAATCTAGCTACAGTAATCTACAGTAATCTGGAGCTACAGTAATCTACAGTAATCTGGAGCTACAGTAATCTACAGTAATCTGGAGCTACAGTAATCTACAGTAATCTGGAGCTACAGTAATCTACAGTAATCTGGAGCTACAGTAATCTACAGTAATCTGGAGCTACAGTAAGCCAGGCAATAGTTACAGTAATCTGGAGCTACAGTAAGCCGGGCAATAGTTACAGTAAGCCATAGACTACCATAGCCTACACAGCTACAGTAAACGTTGCAGTCAAGCCCTGGACATGACTTGTATGTCTCTGAAGACATGACTGAAGCCACGTAAAGCTTCCAGAGACATACAAGTCATGTCCAAGGCTTGGCTGCCAAGTTTACTGTAGCTTCTTTCTAAATCTTCAGCCTTGCTCACCGATAAACAGCCACCGGATCGGAGCCGACCAATTCGCGGACCAGTGAATATTTCGAATTCTTCAATGTAATCAACACATCGTGTCGCATTAGATCCTTATTTTTCTCGCGGAAACCCTTGAATGATGAGAATTTGAATGTAGGACTCTTGTAGACTTTAGATAGCCTTCAAAGCCTTCAAAGCCTTCAAACTGTAAGCCTTCAAAGCCTTCAAAGCCTTCAAACTGTAAGCCTTCAAGTATTCAAACTGTAAGCCTTCAAAGCCTTCAAAGCCTTCAAACTGTAAGCCTTCAAACAAGACTGTTAACAAGACTGCATTAACTACATTGACTTGACATTAACAATTGAACTTGACAATTAAATCAAATCCTAAATTCCACTGTATCTAATCCAACCGTTGTCTGATATTTCACTTTTCCCGCATAATGCGCCACGATGAAGGCTTTCTCGCGTTTCTGGGGCATCTCGTAGTACTCGTTGTTCTAAAATTTGTCGGTAATTTGTCAAGCTACAGTAATCCGCAGCTACCGTAGCCTGCAGCTATAGTAGCGGCTACCGTAGCCTGCAGCTACAGTAATCCGCTTTTTAGACTCACTTTCAAGAAAGTGTTCAACTTGTCGAGCATCGATTGATCGGTACCATTGTGAATGTTTGACTCCTCGTCGATCAGTCGAAGGATTCCATAGGGTTTCGCCTGAAGAGACTGGTACAGTAATCCAGAGGTACAGTAATCCAGAGGTACAGTAACCCAGAGGTACAGTAACCTAGAGATACAGTAATCCAGAGATACAGTAATCCAGAGGTACAGTAATCCAGAGATACAGTAACCTAGAGATACAGTAACCTAGGGAGACAGTAATCTAGAGATACAGTAATCTAGGGAGACAGTAATCTAGCGATACGGTAACCTAGAGATACTGGAACCTAGAGATACAGTAATCAAAGCTACAGTAACCCTGATCACTAATCAATGTCTCTACAGTAAGCCTAGCAACAGTTAAAGTAACCTAGCAAGCCACAGTAAGTTTTGGTTACCATAATCCTAGCAGCTACAGTTACCCTGACAGCAATCCCTAGCTACAGAAATCCCTAGCTACAGTAATCTCTAGCTACAGCAAGCCCTAGTTACAGTAATCTCTGGCTACAGCAATCCCTAGCTACAGTAATCTCTAGCTACACTAGTCCGTGGCTAGAGTAATCTCTAGTTACACTAATCCCTAGCTAAAGTAATCCCTGGCTACAGCAAGCCCTAGCTACATTAACCTCTAGCTACAGTAATCTCTAGTTACACTAATCCCTAGCTACAGCAAGCCCTAACTACAGTAATCACTAGCTACAATAACTACAGTTCTGGCAGCGATTCTAGCTACCACACGTCAGCTACAGCAATCCATAACGTAATCTCTAACTATAAACTACAATAATTCCTAACCACGTATCAATAGCTACAGTAAAATTGATACCACCGTAATCCCTGAGGTCTTCAGTTCACCAAAGCCCACCTGAAACAAATGCACACACTCCGTATTATCAGTGTACTCGATATTCGTCCACGTGATCCCCTCTTTGAGATATTCTTCCTGAAATCTTTTCTTTAAACTCCTCTATTCTAAAGCTTCTTAGAAAAACCTGCTCAAACTGAAAGATGTGTTGATTGAAATAAGCTTGAAGATGTTCATTCGCGTAATTGATACACAATTGCTCAAATGAATTTTTATGTCCACCAACGTCTTCAAAACCGAAAATGTCGAGAATCCCTGGAAATTTGCGGTTCTTAGATTGCTTAGATTCGTATCAAAAGCTAGTTACAGTAGTTACAGTAATCCCTGATCACCCTAGTTACAACAGCTTACAGTAGCCTGGCAGCTACAGTAACCCCTAGCTACAGTAACTTTCTAGAACTCACCAATATAATAACCATTTGTAGGCGATTGAGCACGAAGCAGTTGTTGATTGATCCGCAAAACGATCCAATGAAAGAGTGCATTGTAGAGGCATTTGGCCATCGCATCTCGTGTGTTTGTTGCCTTAAACTTTTCACTTTTGGAATGATAAGTTTAGGGTTGAGCCTCTCCTCCAGCTCGATTCAATTTGACTCACCTCCGAAACGCTGTATCTTGAAATGACCGTATCGTTTTTTGTCACCGTTCGTCGCATTGTCAACGCCTAAACGGTACTCGAATTGCCCTATTCTGGCTACCGTAATCTTGACAAACAAGCCCTAGCAGATACAGTACCCTAGCTACAGTACCCTAGCGGCTACAGTACTCTAACAGCTACAGTACCCTAACAGCTACAGTACCCTAGCTACAGTACCCTAACAGCTACAGTAACCTAGCTACAGTACCCTAACAGCTACAGTACCCTAGCTACAGTACCCTAGCAGCTACAGTACCCTAGCAGCTGCAGTACCCTAGCTACAGTACTCTAACAGCCACAGTACCCTAGCTACAGTACTCTAACAGCTACAGTACCCTAGCTACAGTACCCTAGCGGCTACAGTACTCTAACAGCTACAGTACCCTAGCAGCTACAGTACCCTAGCTACAGTACTCTAACGGCTACAGTACCCTAGTTACAATACCCTAGCTACAGTACCCTACAGTACTAGCAGCTAATCCCCTTGCTACCACATAACAACTACAGTAACCCAGACGGTTACAATGAGCTGTAATACCTTACTACAATAAGCACACAACTATTCAGCACTTTCCCTCACCTGTAACAGTTGATCGGCTCGAATATTCAGCAATTTCGCCACCAATCCCACGACTTCTTCATTTTCAATGTAAGCCGCCTCGTCACTGTGATAGCCTTGACGCTAAATGTCAACCAGATAAATCTAACGTTTTCATACTAAATGTACCTTGATATATTTAATGTTCCCTAGTAGAAGCACAGCGGAGAGAATCGCTTGAAGGGTGTGTTGGGTCGTGGGTGGAAAGCCGACCGCTAGCATGGCCTAAAGATAACGAAATGCTGAGCACAGTGATTTAGTATGCTTTAGTACTATCACCGTACATAGTACCATATACAGCCGACGCCTTATATACGCTGTTTCACATATGCCGCCTTATATACACTGATTTATCTACGCCCTCTTATATCCGCAACCTTATATACACTGCTTCATAAACTCCACCTTATATACGCTCCTTCACATAAGCCGCCTTATATACACCACCTTGTATACGCTGCTTTATCTATGCCGTCTTATCTACGCCGCCTTATATACGCTGCTTTATCTATGCCGTCTTATCTACGCCGCCTTATCTACGTAGTCTTATCTACGCCGCCTTATATACATCTTTTAAAGACATTCAGCCGTTTAACTGATTTGCTGGCAGACTCCCTTCAAACCGTTGAACCGTTGTTTAGCATACCATTGTTTTCAAGTGCTCCGAGCTTACGCTAAACCGAAGGCTGACTCAAAAATTGTTAAAGCTTTTACTATTATTGATTTTTTACGACTAGACTCTGTTTACTAATAGGCAAACCTCGTTAACAGATTTTTCAGTAAGCTTTGATTGTTTCTTGTTATTTACTAGTTCTTTGTTGAGAAACACGCAATAACTTGATAAAACAATTTGCTTAAAATGATTTGCTTGAAGAGATCTGCTTGAAACGATCTGCTTGAAACGATCTGCTTGAAACGATTTGCTTGAAATGATCTGCTTGAAATGATCTGCTTGAAAAGCTTTGCTTGAAACGATTTGCTTGAAATGATCTGCTTGAAAAGATTTATGGATTTATTTATTTCAATATAACGATGTGTTCGTTATAACGATTTCAAGCGGGGGTCCCAATCGTTATATCAAGAGTCGTTATATCAAGAGTCTGTAGTAGATTAGACCCAGACTAACCTGTTTCAATCTGCTCCATTCGTATTTCTCGTTTACACCCTCGGTGGCCTCGTAGGTGTTCTAAAAGAGAGATTATCAGCTTCTCAAATAGTACAGTAACCCATATGTTAAACCCAGGCTACAGTAATCTTTAGAGACTACGGTAGAGACTACGTGGGTTGTACTAATAGCTACTAACGACGGGTTACGATAGCCGTCATTCTTCATTCTGAATCTCAATGGGATACCTGATTTAAATACATATAATCATCAGGTTTCATCAAGAAGAACTCCTTTCTTTCATCATCGCTTGCACCCTCGAGAAGATAGTAGAAAACGTGGTAGTTTCTAAAGAAAACTGGATACTTAATTCATAAACTTGGTTACGGCTGATATACGCCGCCTTATATACGCCGTCTTATATACGCGGTCTTATATCCGCTGTCTTATATCCGCCGTCTTATATCCGCTGTCTTATATCCGCTGTCTTATATCCGCTGTCTTATATCCGCTGTCTTATATACGCCGTCTTATATACGTCTTTTAAAGATATGCGCCTTTTAATTAATTTGGTGGCCGTTTCCCTTCAAACCGTTGAACCGTTGAGCCGTTGTTTAGCATACCATTGTTTTCAAGTGCTTTACACAGTGATTTAGTATGCTTTAGTACTATCACCGTACATAGTACTATATACAGTCGACGCCTTATATACGCTGCTTCATATATGCCGCCTTATATATGCTGCTTCATATATGCCGCCTTATATACGCTGCTTTATATACGCAGCCTTGTATACGCCGCCTTATATACGCAGCCTTGTATACGCCGCCTTATATACACTACTTCATATCCGCCGTCTTATCTACGCCGTCTTATATACGCCTTTTAAAGATATCAGCTGAGTTCAAGTTATTTGTTATATCAACCAAATCGTTGTATCAAGCCTACCTGAGCCCAAACCTGAGCCTGAGTCTCTAAAGCCGACCGTAATCCTACCAATTGATAGGATTACGGTAGGCTTACTTTGTAGGCTTTGTAGATCGTAAACTAGACTCGTTCTTTATCTATTTTCTTCTTAAGCTCTTAAATTTTCTTTCCTATCGTTAAATAAGGGAAACTTTAAAATTCAAGTGCACTTAGCTCTTCTCTGAGCTCACAAAACATCAAATGAACGAATCTAATGCGTTAGAAAAGGTAGGTTTACAATTTTTGGCGCACAAAGTACAATCAAAGTTTTATCCCAGTTTATGCGGTGTTTTAAAGTTTCAATTTTTCTTTTTTTTCTTTTAAAATTCTTTAGTTGATTTCAAGTGTTGGTGGGGGTGGAAAAAGAGAAAAAAAAACAGAAAAAAAGAGAAATCTCAAGTACTTTTTGCACTATTTGATCGTCAAATTCTCTTTTTTTTTAAATTTTATTTCATTTTCTCATCTTATCCAATCGATCTCATCACATCAAATCGTTTAAACAAACAAAAAAAGGAAAGGAAAGGAAAGGAAAGGACAGAACTATCAAGGAAAAGCTTCTGGAAAACAAAATTTCCTCAACTACTAAAGAAAATGAATATCTTCAATCGATTCACCGATCCCGAAAATCCCAGGGTACAAATTTACAGCTGAATATCTTTTTTGGCCATTGGCCTTGAATGGAAATTGCAATGAAATGATTGGCGAAATGTTCTTTGTGCGGCCCCACAATCGCTCGCTTTCTGGCAACCCCGACTAGCATAAGGGCTTTCATTTTCGAGCGAAAAGGACGAAAAGGACCGGGAGGAAATGGCATTTACTTCGTCAGTATGCCCAAATTTTTGTGATCTTGGCTTAAATGGTTTGAATGGCTTAAGTTCTCGCCTTAAATGTTGCCATATTTTGAAGATGACTCGGTCTAGACTAAACTTATTTGGATTTGATGGACAGCCTTATTCCTTCACCTTCTGATTACTTATTCCTAGTGATAAGCAATGATTTGGCCAACAAATGGCTTAAGTTCTCGCCTTAAATGCTGCCATGTTTCGAAGATGACTGATTCTAAACTAAATTTATTTGGATGGAAGGTGATGGACAGCCTTGTTCCTTCACCTTCTTATTCCTGACGATGAGCAATGATTTGGCCAACAAACGCTTTGAATTCGAAGATGATATCAAAAAATGGCTGACAGATTGGTTTTGAATAAAAATTGAAGATTTTCTGTGATAAAGGCACGACTTCTACCAGTAAAATTGGCAAAAATCATACAAAATCTTTTGCATTAAAAGATTTGTAGAGAAAAGGAATCAAATTTAGAGAGATAAGGAACCAAATTTAGAGAGATCAGAGAGATTCAGCCAAAACCAAGTCTGCTGCCGAATCGCATCGTTCTCTCTGTGCTGCTTTCGGAAATGGCAGTTCGTCTCTCAGGCAGTGCCAGACTTGGTTTCAACGATTCCGAGAAGGAGACGAGGCTTTGGAAGAAGAAGGAACCAAAAGACAAAAAAGAGGACCAAATTTGTAGAGAAAAGAAAAGCATCCGATCTTTTTCTATTTCCTTTACAATTGCACTAGAATCTGCTGCACTGTTGTCTGTATTTGGCTGGTGAAACGAATATTGGTTTGATTCAGATTGGCGATGAAATCTAACCTTTCCTAGTGAGAATTAAGGTTGAAACCGACTCGAAAACTTGATTTTCTCTGATCTTTACTATCAATAGATTATCTAAACCTATAAACTGATAAAAACTCAATTGTAAGTACTCACCTTTCTCCAACAGCTTGCGAAATAATCCGTGACTTCTCGAGTAGATAGATCTCCATGTTGGCTCTGAAACTTGTCAAGAGTCAAAAGAAGTTAACAGTCAAAAGAAGTTAACAATTTTTCACATTTCCTCACCCTGAAACCATTCCATTCTCTCGATAATTCACTTTAATGAATTTTCCGAAACGAGAGCTGTTGTTGTTTTGAACAGTGACCGCGTTACCGAAAGCCTGAAATTGAATGGTTTTAAAATGGTTTAAAATGACTTTAAAATGGTTTAAAATGGCTTAAAATGGTTTAAAATAGTTTAAAATAGTTTAAAATAGCTTTAAAAAGGCTCTTAAATGGTCTAAAATGGCTTTAAAACAGCTTTAAAATAGTTTAAAATGGTTTAAAATGGTTTAAAATGGTTTAAAATGGTTTAAAATGATTTAAAATGATTTAAAATGGTTTAAAATAGTTTAAAATGGTTTAAAATGGTTTAAAATAGTTTAAAATAGTTTAAAATGGTTTAAAATAGTTTAAAATGGTTTAAAATAGCTTTAAAAAGGCTCTTAAATGGTCTAAAATGGCTTTAAAACAGCTTTAAAATGGTTTAAAATGGTTTAAAATAGTTTAAAATGGGTTTAAAATGGTTTAAAATGATTTTAAATGGTTTAAAATGGTTTAAAATGGTTTAAAATGGCTTTAAAATAGTTTAAAATGGCTTTAAATTGTTTAAAATGGTTTAAAATGGCTTTAAAATAGTTTAAAATGGCTTTAAATTGTTTAAAATGGTTTCAAATGGTTTCAAATGGTTTAAAATGGTTTAAAATGGTTTAAAATGGTTTAAAATGGTTTAAAACGATTCAATTTCTTGCCAACCTCTAGAACAGGTCCAGCTGAGAGCAGTGTTTGTTCCACAGAGCATCCAGTGGATCCCTTTTGAGACAATGTTGTGAGGTGATGCAGGAGGAAATTTGTTGACTCGGTTTTCCCTAGATTGTCCTTATTGAATTGACGACTATTATAGGTTATGCATTGATATTTCTAATTTCCATTTGATCAGCTAGGAAATTGAAATTGACATTGATATTGAGATTGAAATTGACATTGATATTGACATTGATATTGAGATTGACATTGAGATTGACATTGAGATTGAAATTGACATTGACATTGGAATTGACAGCTGATGAAATTACGAGAATTATGAGAATGTCAAAAGCAAGAATCAATGACTATCTACTAGAAAAATCAATCTCAAAACTGATATTCAAGAAATGCTAAAGTCAAAGAGGCGGTCGACAGTGAAAACACGTGTTTTTCAATAGAAAATCTATCAAAACCTCTACGAAGAAATTGGCTGAATAAATTTCTCTGTAAATTTCGCTATATACTAAACGTTCTCTGCTCTATCCTTTATCTATTGATACAAAGATTGGTTTTTGTCGAAATCGCAGAATTAGGTCGTTGCTTTTCCTCGTTTTTTCAACTTAATATAATCTTAATACCTAACTGGATTATTAGCACGATATTACAGTTAGCTTGCAAATAGCTTTATAGATTGCTGATCAAGATTAAGGACAAGATCGAGGCAGAGATCAAGGCCAAGATCAAGATCTAGATCAAGATCAAAGCCAAGATCAAAGCCAAGAGCAAAGCCAAGAGCAAAGCCAGGATCAAAGCCAAGATCAAGGCCAAGATCAAGATCAAATCCAACATCAAAGCCAGGATGCAAGCCAGGATCAAAGCCAAGATCAAGGCCAAGGTCAAGGCCAAGATCAAGATCAAATCCAACATCAAAGCCAGGATGCAAGCCAGGATCAAAGCCAACAAGATCAAGTCCAAGATCAAGAGAACAAAAGTGAGCTCAGATCAAAGCTTGTTCAAAACCCGAACCTGATCCACTCTCGCCAGAGATCACGATACACTGGTTCTCCTTGATTCGAAGCATGCTGAAATTAGAGTTTTTCAGTTTCCAAGATTGTGATTGCTTCAAAAGATGAAATCAAAGTTTGGGTAATTGTACAGTTTGTTTGGGTGATTTTGGTAGTCTGGGTATCTATATCTGACTTTGAATTACTATTTTAACCTCTATTGACACATTAAGGACACAATTGACACATTCAGCAAGCTTTCTGGGTTACTGTAGCCAAGATTTACTGTATAGATTTACTGTAAAATCTTTCCATAGTGCTTTTGATCTGTTTCTAGACTCACTTATGATATGTGACATCGGCGATTGCGAAAATGTGCGGTGGAAGAGAGCCGAGTGCTGACGAGCAGTACAAACGGGCGTATTTCGGGTTGTAGATGGGGAAAAAGCTGTAAAAAGCTGTAAATAAGGAATTCACATAAATAAAGCAATAATCTCTATATGATTCGCTATTTACTAGAAGAATTTTATAAATCCAATGTGCCCAGTGGGTTCTGCAAGGGACTCCTCACCTGAACGGGTTCACTGCAACGAGAATCGGTCCAATGTAGGTGTAGATGTGGCCACTGTTGAAACTAAACTTATATTTTAAGAAAAGAAATCTATAATTATCATAGTTTAAATCAAAAACATACTTTAAAGCTGAATAAAAGTGTACAACTGACGGAAATTCTAGAATGGCTCTTGACCTTAAGAATAGGCCTTGATCTTAGAATAGGCCTTGATCAAGATCCTAGAATGGCTCTTGATCAAGATCTTAGAATGGGCCTTGATCAAGATCCTAGAATGAGCCTTGATCAAGATCCTAGAATGAGCCTTGATCAAGATCCTAGAATGAGCCTTGATCAAGATCCTAGAATGAGCCTTGATCAAGATCCTAGAGGCCTTGATCAAGATCCTAGAGGCCTTGATCAAGATCCTAGAGGCCTTGATCAAGATCCTAGAGGCCTTGATCAAGATCCCAGAGGCCTTGATCAAGATCCTAGAGGCCTTGATCAAGTCCTAGAGGCCTTGATCAAGATCCTAGAATGGGCCTTGATCAAGATCCTAGAGGCCTTGATCAAGATCCTAGAGGCCTTGATCAAGATCCTAGAGGCCTTGATCAAGATCCTAGAGGCCTTGATCAAGATCCTAGAGGCCTTGATCAAGATCCTAGAATGGGCCTTGATCAAGATCCTAGAGGCCTTGATCAAGATCCTAGAGGCCTTGATCAAGATCCTAGAGGCCTTGATCAAGATCCTAGAGGCCTTGATCAAGATCCTAGAGGCCTTGATCAAGATCCTAGAAGGGCCTTGATCAAGATCAAGATCCAGATCCGAAGCTCTACACAAACATACAAAGAACTACGTGAGACTCCAACAGACAGTACTGTTGCGTAGGCGTTTAGTAGGGTCACATAGTCATCTTTTTGTTCTTTGAATTTTTTCTAGAGCTTCGGATCTGGATCTTGATCTTGATCAAAGCCTATTCTAGGATCTTGATCAAGAGCCATTCTAGGATTGTGTAGAGATCCGGAATTGGATTCGGACATTGCTGATCTTGAAAATGTTGTAAAACACTTCAAATCTATAGATTTGAATCGGATTTAAGAATTTGATTCAACAAAAAGAAACTTTAAACCATAAAACGAATATGATTCACTTACAATCAACAATTTACAATCAACAAAATCGAAAAACCACCAACCGATCCCTCAAATTGTCCAATAAAGTCTGCTCAGTCAGCTCGGGCAACATGCACAGGTCAGCGTATTCACGATCCTGTAACACTACAGTAATCCCTTGAATTTCTAGGCTTTTCTTTAGATTTAACGAAGGCTAAAGATTAGATTTAACCTTTAAATTTCTCTAAAATTGTCAAATTCAAGAAAAAAAAAAAGCAAAAACCTGTGGTTGTGTAAGAAATTTTGCTAGAAAAGCGTCAATCGCCGATGCAGCCTCAGCCGATCCAAAACGAGACACCGAGCGGACACCTTTATGCCTGAAGTTTTAGATATTTAAATGATATAAAGAGCTTTATCTACTGCAGTTTTATCTACTACAGTACCTTAGAATAAATCTATGCTTTGGTGCTTGATCAGTTGATGTTGATGAAGTTGATGAGGAGAGAGCTCTTCCACCCCAAAGTGATTGAACAGCCACCGGGTACTCGCCAGCATCAAGCTTTCGTTCCTAAAGCGTTTTTTGAAGACTTATATTGTGAAGAGTAGCAGTGGAGATAGTATTGGGTTGTAGTGTTGGATTGTACTGTTGGATTGTAGTGTTTTGTTGTAGTGTTTTGTTGTAGTACTGGTTGTATCCTGGTCCTGGCTTAGGCTTAAAGATATCAGTATTGGCTGGTTCAGAGTACTGGCTGGTTCAGAGTACTGGCTGGTTCAGAGTACTGGCTGGTTCAGAGTACTGGCTGGTTCAGAGTACTGGCTAGTCCAGACTACTGGCTAGTCCAGACTACTGGCTAGTCCAGACTACTGGCTAGTCCAGACTACTGGCTAGTCCAGACTACTGGCTAGTCCAGACTACTGGCTAGTCCAGACTACTGGCTAGTCCAGACTACTGGCTAGTCCAGATCTGACTTTGGATCAGCCAGTACTGCACCAGTACTTGAACCTAGCTTATTCCTGACCAGAGTTGTTCCTCATAAGTTACAGAACATAAGAAAAGAGTAAGTTGACGCCTTTCATTGACCTTAATCCAATACTATTCTACTTTAAACGTGTAGTCGTGTGTCGTACTTTAAACGTGTGTCCATCAGGTGTCCCCATCACCTCAACCAGCTCCATCTCGTCAGCTGTGTGTTCGGTGAGATCTGAAAGTGAAAGTACGTGATCTTCTACCCACTTGCTCATTTCTAGAAGCTAGAAAAGGATTTTAGAAAAGAAATAGACCATGTCTTATATGCAAAATCCTTTCGATAAGCTCCTCAGTAGTAGCGCGTTTGTGAAAATCGAGAACGATCTGAAAAAGAAAGATGTAGAAAAATCGATGCTCTATGAAATCTATGAAAACTCTACCCGATCCTCTTCATTTTCCGGATTGAATACGTACATATAAACAGTGACGGAATGAGCCTAAATTTTGTAGAATTTCTAGATCGAGATTTCCCACCAGATGCCTAACAAATTAGAGTTTAAGAATTAGCAAATTAGCTAGTAGTTTTGGTTTTTAATGGTCTAGCTTTCTATTAGCCTTGCTGTTTAATAGCCTTGCTTTCTAATAGCCTTGCTTTCCATTAGCCTTCCTTTCCATTAGCCTTGCTTTCTATTAGCCTTGCTTTTGCTCTATTCTGGACTTCGCTAAGCCCACTGCATCTCTCCAGTTCAAATCTCTTCAAATCCAGTAAGATTAGCTTCATTTCGTTACCTGAAAGCACACAGGGACGTCATCTGGCGAGGTGAGAGTGTGCGCTCGTCGCGGAAAAACCCCACCAGTTGCGCCCAAATGGCTGAGAAATTGGGAAGATGATGGAATATCGACACTGTCGAGACTCATCTCTCGTCTTGATGCATTTTCTCCTCAAATCGGGTCATTTATTATTTTCTTTTTGAAAGGAAGAAGAAGAAAAAGGAAGAACTAATGGCTATCGGATCTAGCGGAATCTCTGGATCCACCGGAATCCCTGGATCCACCGGAATCTCTGGATCTACCGGAATCCCTGAATCCACCGGAATCTCTGGATCTACCGGAATCTCTGGATCCACCAGTATCTCTGGATCCACCGGAATCTCTGGATCTACCGGAATCTCTGGATCCACCAGTATCTCTGGATCCACCGGAATCTCTGGATCCACCGGAATCTCTGGATCTACCGGAATCCCTGAATCCACCGGAATCTCTGGATCTACCGGAATCTCTGGATCCACCAGTATCTCTGGATCCACCAGAATCTCTGGATCCACCGGAATCCCTCAAATCACTCCAAAACCTGATTCTTCATTGAAAAAAATCATGCTTAACTTAAAAAAAGCTCAGAATAGACAGACAAAACTCGACAACTATGGTCAGAATTCTTTTGGCTTCAAATCCCTAATTTCACACTGAAATCAAGGACTTGATGGAGAAAAAGGCATTGATAAATCATTAATAAATCATTGATAAATCATGCAAGACAAGTGCTGCAAGCTGTTCAATGTTTGAACTCTAAAAACCAGTCACATCCAGCCTAATGAGAGCCTAAATACTAGAAGTCTGAACTGAGAGCTCAGCTACTTCCAAGTGGCTTTCAATAAGGCTAAGCCAGTCCGGAATGAACAAGACTAGAAGTCAGACTGGCTCGGCCTGGTTCTGAACCCGATTTAACCTAGAAAAAGTCTGAAACAATCCCAAGATCAGGACCTGGTCCCTAGCCTTGACTGTGCCAGAGAAAGTTTTGAAACAGCAACAGATCAAGCCAGGTGAAGCAGTTTAAAGCAAAGGGAAAGTGTAGTACTTGAAGTGTACTTTGTGCTTAGACAAATGCCGCTTTTTGGCATTTGTCTAGGCATACCACAACGAGGTTGACCAGCTAGTTGACAAGCTAGTTAACCAGCTAGTTGAGCAGCTAGTTGAGCAGCTAGTTGAGCAGCTAGTTGATCAGCTAGTTGGCCAGCTAGTTGGCCAGCTAGTTGACAAGCTAGTTGACAAGTTAGTTGAGCAGCTAGTTGAGCAGCTAGTTGACAAGCTAGTTAACCAGCTAGTTGACCAGCCAGTTGAGCAGCTAGTTGGCCAGCTAGTTGACCAGCTAGTTGACCAGCTAGTTGACAAGCGCAAAGCAGCTGGGAGCGCAAAGCACGCAATAAAGTACAAATCGAGTATTCGCAAAAGCCAGTGTGCTAGAGTGGGTGTGTTTAGCTATTTCTTGAGCACAAAGTGCAGGAGTGCTTAAAAGGATTTTAATTCTTTCATAAATAAATAAAACTTAATCATTTCGAATAGCTTTCTTGAAAAAAAGAGATTTTTGGATCATTTTGCGTGGATGAAAAGTGGATTGGAAAAGAAAAAAAATGGGGAAAAAGGTAAGAAAAGGATTGGATGTACACAAAAAGATCGGCTGATCGAGGATTTGAGAAAAGGAGGGAAAGAAAGAGGGGAAGAAAGGGAAAGAAAGAGGGAAAGAGAGGAAGAAAGAGAGGAAGAAAGAGGGAAAGAAAGAGGGAAAGAAAGAGAGGAAGAAAGAGGGAAAGAAAGAGAGGAAGAAAGAGGGAAAGAAAGAGGGTAAAGGGACCCACCTTAGCCACGATTTTTGCCGCTTTCTCTTTGCGAAGGGAAAAGCACACACAAAACACGATTTTCATCCGGGGATTTGATTATATAAGCTTAGAATTGATTATATTATAAGCAAAGCCAGCAGTATTTCTTTATTTCTATCCACTTTCTGCTTAAATGGTCTAAACACACCCACTCTAGCACATTGACAAGAGAAAGTCAACTAGCTAGCAATTGGCTGAGCCAAATGATATGCAACTTATACCATTTAACGCAGAATTTTCTTCTGATTCTGAATCTATATTCCGTTTTTGCTAAATGACAATCTGCCAGGAGTTATAAGCGTCTAAAGTTTTGTTAGGCTCTGAAAATGCGGTCTTAGCGGCTTAGCGGGGCTTAGCGGGTTTTAGCGGGTTTTAGCGGGTTTTAGTGGGTCTTAGCGGGTTTTAGCGGGTTTTAGCGGGTTCTAGCGGGTCTTAGCGGGTCTTAGCGGGGCTTAGCGGGTCTTAACGGCCTCCTTGCGGACCCGATTCGTTACAGCCATGGCCGAGTGGTAGAGCGTTCGTTTTAGCGGGTCCTAGGGGGTTCTAGCGGGTCTTAGCGGGTCTTAGCGGGGCTTAGCGGGTCTTAGCGGGTTTTAGCGGGTTTTAGCGGGTCTTAGCGGGGCTTAGCGGGTCCTAGCGGGTTCTAGCGGGTCTTAGCGGGTCTTAGCGGGGCTTAGCGGGTCTTAGCGAGTCTTAGCGGGTTTTAGCGGGTCTTAGCGGGTCTTAGCGGGGCTTAGCGGGTCCTAGCGGGTTTTAGCGGGTCTTAGCGGGTCTTAGCGGGTTTTAGCGGGTTTTAGCGGTCCACGTTTGGGCTTTGCTTCTGCCAGTTGAGCAGCTAATTGAGCAGCTAGTTGACCGGCTAGTTAAGCAGCTAGTTGAGCAGCTAGTTGCTCATTCTGGCTCAATTCTTGAACCAAACCAAGCCAAAGCTGACTTTTAGAATTTAGAGACATAATTCTACGATAGCCTATCTAGTTCTTCTAGAGAATTTGACAGCTTTTGATTGTCTGATATTAATTGGCTGCCTATTTTAGTCCAAACGAAAAATTTAGAATATAAGAATGATGTTTTAGATAAAATCTCAAAGCCAGAAAGGTCTAAAGAGTCATGAAAAGGCCCAGCCAAAAGCACAACAGATCTCTTCAGTGAAAACGTGAAAAGAGATGAAAAAGAGAGAAAATAGTGCAATTTTTGCGATTTCTCTTCGTTTTCTTCTTTTCCAACTCTAAATGATCCTCAAAACTTTTCGTTTTCTCTCAAAAGAGAATCTTTTTTTGTGTTTTTGTGAATGATTTCTCTTTCGAGTGAGTGTGGAGATTTGGGGGTGAGCTGTGAAGGAGAAAATCGATCTCTCATTAGGACCCAAGCCGTCGAGTTTCATTTGTTTGACTTTTTGAAGTGATCAAAACGAAAATCAGCTTTAAATTGAGATTTTGAAAGGCATTGAATGTCTTTCAATGTCTTTGATTGTCTTTCAATGACGAATGACATATTTTAAACGATCATAACTTTCATAAATACCGTATTTTCTCTAATAGTAGTGCACTCGTTGCCTAAATTCCTCGAAATCTCGAAAACCGCTTATCAGAACCTATCGATGTGGGGTCGGAAAATGTAGCTGATGATGAGATCTTGACGATGATTTGAGTGTTGAGCTTCTGGGAAAAATTGGGAACGAGAAAATAGGCATCAACTCGGCTCAACCTCAGGACGGCTAACCAAATGTCGGACGATGAGATCTTGACGATGATTAGAGTGTTGAGCTTCTGGAAACACTTAGAAACTGTAAAATGGGCTCGGCTCGGCGGGGTGCACTAGGCTCAGCTTCAGGCTTAGGCTCAGGCTTAGGCTTAGGCTTAGGGTCAGGCTTAGGCTTAGGGTCAGGCTTAGGCTTAGGGTCAGGCTTAGGCTCAGGCTTAGGCTTAGGCTTAGGGTCAGGCTTAGGGTCAGGCTTAGGGTAAGGCTCAGGCTTAGGCTCAGGCTCAGGCTTAGGCTCAGGCTTAGGCTTAGGCTTAGGCTCGAAACTGGAGTTGGCTGGGGTTGGCTTGCTCACACTGTGGAGAAACTCCGGAGAATATTGATAAGTGAAACATTTTAAAGTTTTAGTTATATTGTTAGATATATCTTATCTATCTAATATTTAGATATGTCAAGGCCGAATATGATTCTCAGCCGAAGGTGTTTGATAGTTCGGTTAGCCGAAAGTGATTACCGTATTACCTCTACCCCGGCGAGTCGAGTTGGCGACGATTTTACGGTTTCTGAGTTTTCACAGAAGCCGAAGACGCAAATCATCGTCAAGATCTCATCGTCAGCTACATTTTCCGACCCCACATCGATAGGTTCTGATAAGCGGTTCTCGAGATTTCGAGGAATTTAGGCGACGCTCGGGGTGCACTACTATTAAAGAAAATACAGTATTGAAAGTCTACCATCTGGAGATCTGCGACACGTTATGTTATACGAATTTCTATAACGACAAGGGCTTCTAGTGTTCAGCTAATATTGAGAATTTGGAAGGATCAGCTCCAATGCGGACATGTGCAATGTTAAATTCCGTTTTGAGGATGAATTTTTGAAGACAAAGTCCGATCCAGCAGTCATCTTTCTCGATACGAGCGTAAATCTTTTATTGCGTATTGTGAGGGAGGATGAAAATGGATTCTAACTGTGGCGAGAAGGCGCCAATGGAATGCTGTGGGGGAACTAGGAGCCCGAGGAACTAGGAGCCCGAGGAACTAGGAGCCCGAGGAACTAGGAGCCCGAGGAACTAGGAGCCCGAGGAACTAGGAGCCCGAGGAACTAGGAGCCCGAGGAACTAGGAGCCCGAGGAACTAGGAGCCCGAGGAACTAGGAGCCCGAGGAACTAGGAGCCCGAGGAACTAGGAGCCCGAGGAACTAGGAGCCCGAGGAACTAGGAGGCCAAGTGGTAATGGGTTAGCTGAAGAAAAGATGAATGGGCAGTCGAACCAGACAATGTTCGCTTCCCATGCTAACCCATTACCACTTTTGCGCTTTTGAAAAGCTCTGGCAAGCTAACTTATCAGAATTCTTGTTCGGAAATGCTTTAAACTTTAAACTCGTATAACTTTTGATAGGGTAGCGCATAGCAAAAACGGAAAGCAGATTCGGAATCAGGGTGAAATTCTGCGTTGAATAGTATATAGCATTTGCCATTTGGCTCAAATCTGAGCAGAATAACGCTGAAAGTAACTGGCTTACTGTGACTGTTGTATTGTTGGGCTGTTGTACTGTTGTACTGTTGTACTGTTGTATTGTTGTTCAAAGTTCGATAACATCTCTTTATACAAAGAAACAAGAAAGTTAGATATGTAAAAACATCACAAATTTGTGCATTTGGTCAAATCGAGCAATTGAGCTCGAATTTTGAGGTTTTTTTAGAATAATCAGAAAATCAAATCAGCCAAACCAGTTGCTAATCTCTCGCTAAAATCGGGAAAACGTTACGGCACTCTTTAGGTAACCCAAAGTACTCAATATGAAAGTGCAGCCTCTTTATACTCGGAGCCGTCAACGGAGAACAGCTCCTCTAATCGCCACTCTAGCGTCTCGAATGTCGGCCGCTTCTCCGGGTCGGCTCGCCAGCACTGAAAATGAGAATTCTTTTAATCCAATACTTATCTATTCTAGAGATTCAGCTCCAGCTCTGTTCAGGTTTAGACTTCAATCCAGCCCAATCCTGCGCCAGGTCCGAATCTAGCACAACTCTAAATAAACTTTAGGTCCAGCACAGGTCTATCCCAGGCCAAGCCCAGCTCTAGCCCAAGCCTAGTCCAGGTCAAGCCCAGGTCTAGCCCAGGTCTAGCCCAGGTCTATCCAAGGTCTGGCTCAGATCTAGCCCAGGTCTATCCAAGGTCAAGCCCAGATCTAGCCCAGATCTAGCCCAGGTCTATCCCAGGTAAAGCCTAGGTCTAGCCCAGATCCAGCTCAGGTCTATCCAAGGTCAAGCCCAGGTCTATCCAAGGTCTGGCCCAGATCTAGCCCAGGTCAAGCCCAGATCTAGCCCAGCGTTTTAGTTCGATGCACCTACCTGTATCATAATCTCATAAAGAGCGGGCGGACAATTTGGCGGGCATTGCATTCTGTAACCCTGTTCGACTTGTTGGAGTACTTCAGCGTTCGTCATCCCTGCCAACCAATAGTCAAATCTCTAGAGTGAACTCTTACCTGGATACGGTATCCGTCCGTATGTCACCATTTCCGTCAACAAAATTCCAAAACTCCAAACGTCAGACTTTGTGGTGAACTTGTTGAAGTTTGCCGCTTCCGGAGCAGTCCACTAAAAGTTACAAAGCTTGGATTAGAGTACGGTAATTCCTTCTATAGCTTTAGTTGAAGCTACGCTCCTGTAGCTACGCTACTGTAGCTACTGTAGCAGGCATACTGTAGCTTCTAATAGAGCCTGTTGAAGAGCTACAGTATCCCTCTTCTCTACTGTAGCTTCATAATGTAGAGAAGAGCATTTGGACAAGTATGATGTAGCTTACTGTAGTCTCTATTGTCTAGATCAATAGTCCTAATGTAGCTTGATACTATAAACGCTAGAGTATGCCCATTAAATGAAGGTATACTGTAGCTTTTGACAGCTATACTGTAGCTACGAACAAAACTCACTTTTATAGGAAACCGGGCCCCGGGATGTGCCTCGTACTCACTCTCCTTCAACAATAATCGAGCCAAACCAAAGTCGGCTATCTAAAAGTAAAGATAAATAGTTGAAATCGAAGAAATTAGAGTTTTAAATGAGTTTTGAATGGCTTCCGAATGGTTTAAATGGATTCTGAATGGTTTAAATGACTTTTGAATGGCTTCTGAATGATTTAAATGACTTTTGAATGGCTTCTGAATGGTTTAAATGACTTTTGAATGACTTCTGAATAGTTTAAATGACTTTTGAATGACTTCTGAATGGTTTAAAGGACTTTTGAATGACTTCTGAATAGTTTAAATGACTTTTGAATGACTTCTGAATAGTTTAAATGACTTTTAAATGAATAGCAAAGCTTTAGAGACTTAGAACTTTTCTTAGAACCAAGATTAGTCTTCACTTTTATATCTTTCAAGAGTTTTATATCATTTCAGACTTACTAATGGCTTACTAATTCAGAAAAACATTTCAGACTTTATAATGAGACTAAAAAAGACTTCAATTGGAATGATCAGTGTTAAGAGAATCAAATAAATTACACCGTTAGTGGGGTTTGGCTTTGATCCTGCTGATTCTGCTGATTCTGAGCATTCTGCTGGTTCTACTGGTTCTGCTGATTCTGCTGATTCTATTGATTCTGCTGATTCTACTGATTCTGCTGATCTTGCTGATTCTACTGATTCTACTGATGACTCTAGAAGACTATAGAAGACTATAGAAGCCTATAGAAGCCTATAGAAGACTCTAGAAGCCTTTAGAAGCCTCTAGAATACTATAGAACACTATAGAATACTCTAAAATACTCTAGAATACTCTAGAATACTCTAGAATACTATAGAAAATTCTGCTGATTCTACTGATTCTACTGATTCTGCTGATTCTACTGATTCAACTGATTCAACTGATTCAACTGATTCAACTGATTCAACTGATTCAACTGATTCAACTGATTCTACTGATTCTACTGATTCTACTGATTCTACTGATTCTACTGATTCTACTGATTCTACTGATTCTACTGATTCTACTGATTCTACCTTGATTTTCTTTGTACTGATTCATCTGATTTATTTCCTTTAGATCTCATTAGAAAGCCTAAAATGTTTTACCCTTGAAATATATAAACATGAATTCTAAAAAAGTCATAAACCTTTGAAACTTGACTGTTCATTGAAAAGTCACCAAAAGTATGCGAGACTCGAAAATTACCGTTAGAGTGCCTAGGACGGTGCTCAGTGCATTATGAATACATACTATAGATACTATAGATACGATAGAAGCCTATAGAAGTCTATAGAAGACTCTAGAAGACTCTAGAAGACTCTAGAAGACTCTAGATGCCTATAGAAGACTATAGAATACTATAGAATACTCTAGAATACTCTAGAAGACTATAGAAGTCTATAGAATACTCTAGAATACTCTAGAATGCTCTAGAATACTCTAGAAGCCTATAGAAGCCTATAGAAGCCTATAGAAGACTATAGAAGACTCTAGAAGACTCTAGAAGACTATAGAATACTATAGAAGTCTATAGAAGACTCTAGAAGCCTTTAGAAGCCTCTAGAATACTATGGAACACTATAGAATACTCTAGAATACTCTAGAATACTCTAGAATACTATAGACACTATCGTTTACTTGCCGAAGTCAACCAGATTACTGTATTCCAAGTACTACCTACCTGGTCAACATTGGCTACTATTTTCTGTTCTACAAGTACAGTAATCCTAAGACATTAGACCTTATCTCCATCACTTGAATACTTTCGAAATGCCTTCCGAAATATAAAAGTGATCAAACCTTGACACTATGCGATTGATTGACCAAAATGTTCCGCGCAGCTAAATCTCGATGAATGAAGTTCTTCGACTCTAAGTAGCTCATCCCAGAAGCCACCTGAAGAAGAAAAAGAGATCAATTAAGGCTCTGGTTATCTGATTGCTCCATCAGAGTACAATAGACGCTACAGGACGCATCAGTTATATCCAAATTTATCACCACTCACCTGTGCAGCCATGTCAACAAGTTGTCGAATTGAGCTTTGTCGACCTCGACCCTGGAAAATCGATAGTGAATACTTGTAGCTAAGCTTAGAATCTTTAACTATTTTATTAGCTACTTACCGTAAATACTGTAATAGTACCCGACCCCCATAATGACGGCCGGAGCATCGCGTAGTCTAGCTTTGAGCGAGTTTTTCTCGACACTGATTTATGCTACAATGCTCGTTTAGGTATCAAAAAATAGCCCTAAATTTCAGCTATTTTTTGATACCAAAGACGCATTTTTTGAAAGTACAGGTGCTTTGAAAAAAATGAAATACTAAAAACCTTCTGCGACTACGCGACTGTACGAGGGGGATCGGGTACTATTACAGTATTTACGGTAGATTATCTGATTGTTATTGTATAGAACATTATCTAAGCTCTAAAGCAAACCTGTAAGAAGTGCAATAAATTCTCGCTCATTAACTCGGTGACAATGAGAATCGGCTGCTCGCGAGTGCACACCGCGTACAATTGCAGGAGACGGGGGTGTCTGAAAAAGTACTGTAAGCTACAGTAGCCTGGTTGGCTGCTGAACTACCGTGACCGATTAGAGGACTGTAGTCTACCATAGTCCGACTACAGAATACTGTAATCTACCATAGCCCGACTATAGAGTACTGTAATCTACCGTAGTCCGACTACAGAGTATTGTAATCTACCGTAGCCCCACTTCAGAGTACTAATCTGTAATAATGCAAAAGTATATTGCCACCAACTTCAACTTTTTCATGATCTGCGCCTCGGCAAGGAAATCGGACGGATCAGCGGCACCGGCTCTCAAACGTTTAACTGCCACCGGCACATTGTTATTCCAACGACCCTCCCAGACCTGAAAAAGTGTACTATTTCAAATTACGATACTATCCGTTTCCATTTAAAATAAAAAATTCAGGTGGCACAGTCGAGCCTTCAGCCGGTCGGACTTGTGACAAGACAAGCGTGCTCCAAACTGAGCTACGGCGACAAGACTGACTGAGACAAGACTGCCAACCTGTACTCAAATAGTATGAACTGTTTTGCTCACCTCTCCAAACTGTCCAGCGCCAATTTGTCGAATGAGTCGCACGGTTCGTCGATCGACTTCCCATTGATCGTCTGAATTCATCGTTGTACTTTGTGGTGGTGTAAACGCGCGCTTGCTGGTCGACTAGTTTCAATGCTTTCCACAAACCATATGTAAATGTTGACGTTTGCGGTAGATCGGTTTTCGGACAAGGGCTTGTCAACGGGACACACAAACCGTCAGCGTCCTGGATTTGAGATGTATTTAGTAGTTTAAAGTAGTGCTATAGATGTCTTTAGTAGTAAAGTAGTGCTACAAATGTATCTAGATGTCTTTAGTAATGTAAAGTAGTGCTACAAATGTGTCTAGATGTCTTTAGGAGTGTAAAGTAGTACTACGGACGTGTCTAGATGTCTTTAGTAGTGTAAAGTAGTGCTACAAATGTTCTAGATGTCTTTAGTAATGTAAAGTAGTGCTACAAATGTGTCTAGATGTCTTTAGGAGTGTAAAGTAGTACTACGGACGTGTCTAGATGTCTTTAGTAGTGTAAAGTAGTGCTACAAATGTTCTAGATGTCTTTAGTAATGTAAAGTAGTGCTACAAATGTGTCTATATGTCTTTAGTAGTGTCAAGTAGTACTACAGATGTATCTAGATGTCTTTAGTAGTGTGAAGTACTGCTCAAAGGCAGGTCAGGCCAGACCAAGCTAGAAATGGAGCCATATCTAGGTTCTGGCTTCATTGCAAGCTGATCTGGCTGGTCTGACTGGTCTAACTGGTCTGACTGCCTAGATCTGACTCCTGTACTACCCCCGGTAGACATCCAATACCTGTTGATAGTGTTGAATGAGCTCAGTGAGTGTGGTGAACGGTCGGCGACGAGCAATGAAGAAACCGCCTTGATCGAGTGAGCGAATACGGTAGTGCTTCACTGAGTCACCTTCTCTGACTGAAAACGAGTGACTCAATGCTCAATGCTCAATGCTCAATGCAGAAATGATGCTTTCACAATACTGCAAGCACTGGTAGAGTACTGTACATAGTAGTGTACATAGTACTGTACTGTACATAGTAGTGTACATAGCACTGTACTGTACATAGTAGTGGTACATTCTGATGTACTGTCTAGTGATCTAGATGTCAACCTGATCAATCAAGGTTATCTCTAACTTTAGCTAGTTAGCTCTAAGTCAGTTCTAGCTAGGCTTAGGCTTTCGGCTGATCTAGTTCTAGTGCCTGATCTAGTTCTAGTGGATGTTCTAGGCTTTCGGCTGTTCTGGCCTTCTCCAGATTAGTCAGATACTAATTTAGTGTCATTCTAAAGCTGGTCAAGGATCGGATTTAGATCTGGCTCGTAGCTGAAGTCAGAGAATTTGATTTGATCCAGGATCTAACCCTGATCTTTCCCAGGATTTGTAGTTGACTAGTGAAGCCTGTTGACTAGTGAAGTTGACTAGAATCGAAAACTAGTGAAGCCAAGTCAAGCTCAATGTATATTCAAGTCAAATCAACGATCATTCCCTCAATCACTCACCGGAAAGCGAGAGTTCCGAGTGTCGACTCTCGCTTTCTCTCACGAGAAACACTCCACTTCCACCATCTGATTGTTGTAAAGCTTTCTCAGCTTCCGCCCGACGAACCCGTCCAAAGTACCATCTAAATAAGATTATGAGAAATGAACAAGGAAAGGTCAAGGTTGATTGGGAATGTCATTAGAAACATGTTTTCATTTCCCTTCTCCTTGTACTTTGTACAAAAGAGGTAAACATCTCCTGCTCTGAAATTGAATTCTTTAATTTCTCTCAATTTCTTTCAATTTCTTTCAATTTCAACTTTTTGAGTGCTTTCTATAAAAGGGAATCTTTTTTCACCCAAATCTAGCCGTTTTTTCTCTCAAATTCTCCCGGTTTTCTTCAAAGAAAAGCCATAATCGTTGCCTGACTGTTCGTCTTTTTACACCGACAATTCTTTCTCTCAACTTTCACTTTAATGTAGTGGTGCTTTTCTTTTGAGAAAACTAGGGAAAGAATTAGGCTGTATGGCTTAGGATTAAGGGAAAGGAAGGAAGGGAAGGGAAGGAAGAAAGGAAGGAAAGGAAGGAAAGGAAAGAATGGGGAAGGAAGGGAAGGAAGGGAAGGAAGGAAGGGAAGGAAGGGAAGGAAGGAAGGGAAGGAAGGGAAGGAAGGGAAGGAAGGAAGGGAAGGAAGGAAGGGAAGGAAGGGATGGGGGAAGGGAGGAAGGGAAGGGATGGGATGGGATGGGATGGGATGGGATGGGATGGGATGGGATGGGATGGGATGGGATGGGAAGGGATGGGAAGGGATGGGAAGGGATGGGAAAGGGAGGGAAGGGAAGGAAGGGAAGAAAGGGAAGGAAGGGAAGGAAGGGGAAGGAAGGGAAGGAAGGGAAGGAAGGGAAGGAAGGGAAGGAAGGGAAGGAAGGGAAGGAAGGGAAAGGCTATAGGCTATATAAGGCGAGAGCCTGAGCCTGAGTTATCAGTTATCAGGCCTGGGTCAAGCCATCCTCGTACTCTTTAGTCCTCAATGGAAACCAAAATCACATCTTATATACTAAACACACCCTTTCTGGCACATTCGCGCTTTGAACGCTTTGACACAGACGGGCTTTGAAGAAATTCAGTCACCAGAGCATAGAAATATATTCACAACTGAGCTAGAACATATTTATACAATCAGTGTGCCAGAAAGAATGCGTTTGCGCAAAATAGCAAAATTCTTTACCTCTTTAGATATCTAGATATTGATTCGATCTTATTTCTTCTCAATTTCTGCCTTGATGAATATTGTGGGCCAAGATTTGAAGGAAAGGAAAAGGAAAGAGAAAGAGAAAGAGAAAGAGAGATTGGTGTGTAAACAATGGTCGATCTGGGAGAAGGGGGAAAGGATAAGAAACGACAGTCCAATCAAAGAATCAAAGGGGAAAAAAGAGGGAACGGATCAAAAAGGAGATGCCAAAATAGAGGAGAGAAAAGGAAAATATGGGGGAAGGGCCAAGACAAGGCAAACAAAGGAATTGGGAATAGCTGCAAGTGAAACAAGTTGAAAGGAGCTAAAGGAGATATTCAGTGTCTTATATTTAGGGTACGGTAGCTAAGCTGGTACTGTAGCGTCTGGAAGTTCTGGTACTGTAGCGTATGTAAGAGTACTGTAGCGTCTGTCTGTAAGTTGTAGTTCTGTAGCTTGGGTTACAGTAACTCGGCTGGTATTGTAACTTGTTATAAACTTGTTTTCGAGACTACAGATTTCTGTAGCTTACTGTACTTTAGGTCTTGCTTGCTCTTGATCTTAGCTCTAACGAATTCCGAGAAAATCAAGAGCTAAACCGCAGATCCAAAGAATCTTTCTTTCAGGATTCTCCTTCTTGAGTTGGACTAGATCTGACCTTAGGCTTAGGTTTAGAACTTAGTCTCAAATCAAGATCATGCTTAGATCTTGGTCTCAAATCAAGATCAAGCTTAGTTCTTGGTCTCAAATCAAGATCAAGCTTAGATCTTGGTCTCAAATCAAGATCAAGCTTAGATCTTGGCCTCAAATCAAGATCAAGCTTAGTTCTTGGCCTCAAATCAAGATCAAGCTTAGTTCTTGGTCTCAAAAAGATCCTGATCTTATTTAAATTTCAAATTAACTCATGTTCCCCATTTTAAAAACTCCTCAACAAAAAATTTCCGGAAGATTCGATCGGGGAAACGGAAGGGAAGGAGAAAGAGAAAGAGAAAGAGAGAGAAAGAGAGAGAGAAAGAGAGAGAAAGAGAGAGAGAAAGAGAGAGAAAGAGAGAGAGAAAGAGAAAGAGAGAAGGAGAAAGAGAAAGAGAGATAAAGAGAGAGAAAGAGAAAAAGAAAGAGACGATTAGAGAAAACCAAAATGGATTAGAAAGAAGAAGAAAGAAAGATGATTGAGCAAAGAAAGCAGAGAAAAAACGGGGGACTCGATGGGGGGACTGAAAGGGAAAAGGATGAGGAACCGGTCCCGGGCCATCATCGACTCGATCGGTGAAAAGAGAAAAATGGGAAGACCAAGAATTGCGCGAGAAAGAGAACCCGGATGACATCCCGAAAACTCTTTCTTTTTTGAGAAGATCGTCACGAAAAGTTTAGAAGAACTATCTTAAATCTGTATACAAATAAACCATTATTTAACTATTATTTAATTAACTATTAGGTTGATGCATAAGTCTTTTTGTTCCTTTTCGTCTGCCGTTTCAAGCCAACAAATGCACCAATTAAACTACGGTTGATTTCATTAGAAAAAGCAATTATTTTTCTGCAAAATAACATTAAAACGGGTTTAAAAATATTTAATGCCTGGATTTTCTTAAGAGTATGAAGTCGGGTAGTCAAAAAGGGCTAACTCGATGATGCGGTTTAGACACCTTAGCTAAAGAAAACCTATCTTCGTGTCAATAGATAAAAGATAGAGAAAAAAAACGTTTGATATTTCGCCAAAATTTCAGAGAAATTCATTCAGCCAATTTTTCCGTAGAGTTTTTTATAGATTTTTACGAAAAAGGCGTTTTTCACTCTCGAATTTGCTTGAAAGTGAACCGAAATTCATTTAAAAAGATGCAAATTGAACAAAAAAAAACACTTTTTTTATAGAGCAAACTATAGATTAATTCGTGAATTTGTTACTTTTTAACAGAAGTACGAAAAAAACGAAAAGAAACTTATGCATCAACCTATTATTATTCTTAAATTAATAAGTAGCTTTCTCCGAAAAAAAGAACCCATTAAATTTGATTAAAGAAAAGTGGAATTTGTTTTCTATACTCAGTAAAAAAACATAGAGAGAAACCGTCTTGAAGAATAGTGCGCTAGGACCTCTACTAGCATATCTCAAGTGCCACTAGGACCTCTGCTAGCATACCTCGAAGGTACGCACAAATCGGGTATGCTAGCAGAGGATCTCCTACAGATCATCTCCTACAGATCATCTCCTACAGATCATCTCCTACAGATCATCTCCTACAGATCATCTCCTACAGATCATCTCCTACAGATCATCTCCTACAGATGATCTCCTACAGTTGATCTCTTACAGATCATCTCCTACAGTTGATCTCCTACAGATGATCTCCTACAGTTGATCTCTTACAGATGATCTCTTACAGATAATCTGCTAGCAGACCCTCTGTTAGCATACATTGACCTTCCAAATAAAAGTCTCGGACCCTTCCAAACTCCGTAACGAGTCCCGAAGTTCTCAAACTTTTCTATTTTACTTTATAACTCGACTTCTAATTATCAGATCGACTTAAGGTTGGTTTGATGATCCTTATGATGATTTTTGATGTGATTACTGCCGCGTAATCACTCGCCGTCTGGCAAACCCGTCTGGCATAAGGGGCTTTCCTCTTCGCGTTAGTAAACCGTTTGTATCATCGTCTGAGGAAGCGTTGGCTAATGATTCGATTTCGATTTCGATTCGCTGACATTAAAGATTGCTTCGCACCTCTGTACTGAGTTGGCTTTGGCGTCATTATGCCTGTTTTGGCCCTCATTATGCGTGAATTTAGTCAAATGTAGTCAAATGGAAGAAATGGGAGAATCGATGCTGCGTCTACACGACCAGAATAGCATGGAAATGAAGCTTGATCTTCTATTGTTCCACTTTGGCATAAGGAGCTTCCCTTTTCGAGTCGGTAAATCGTCTTGTATCAGCGGGCAAAGAAGCGTTTGCTCATGTTTTTCCATTCGCCGATATTTTAAATATTGCTTTGTGACTGAGCCGGTTTCGCCATCATTATCATCACTTTCAGATCAATTTCTGCCTTAAATTTGGTCATCTTTTTGCTACAAAATCTACAGCTTGTTAACTCATTCTGTTACTTAATCAGCAGCTAAATTAAGAGAATTTTCTCTTGACTCGATAGTTTTCTTTCTTTTTTTCTCTGGATTCGCTAGTCCAATCAAGCTCTATTCTGTGTGATTCGAAAGCCCGTAATTCTCTATACAATAGTGCCCCGGTCTAGCTTTGCTCCTCGATTCTGTCTTCTAGACTTCTGGACTTCCAGGACTTCTGATTTGACTTGGTCTCCCCATCAGAAGTTGATTCCAAGCTTGGATTCTGTCAGGCTCAAGAACTAGTCCAGGTGTGCAGGCTTCTGGCTTGGCTCTTGGCTTGGCTTGGCTCTTGGCTTGACTCTTGGCTTGGCTTGGCTTGACTCTTGGCTTGGCTTGACTCTTGGCTCGGCTCTTGGCTTGGCTTGGCTTGGCTTGACTCTTGGCTTGGCTCTTGGCTTGGCTTGGTCCTGCCTTTCCAACAATAGCTCATAGTCAACCAAGAATTTGTTAAAAAGAGAACATTGTCTATAGAACCTTTTCTCTGTCATCTATAGAACAAAGTTTGGTATTTATAACTTTCAATCGAACTAATCAATAGCCCGTAAATCGTAAATCCTCATAGATTAGCATCTTTTGGATGACCTGTCGTCAAAAAGGCGCCGACTTAGGAATGAGAAGGAGAAGGAGAATTGGAAAAGGAGAATTGGAAAAAGGGAAAAGAAGGAAATACACAGAAACATAAGGAAAATGGTCAGAAAAGAAAGATTTTTGAGGTGAAGGCTAACTCCTGAAAAGAGCAAAAAGAAAAGAAAAGGTTTTTGAGGTGACCTCAAAGAAAAAAGTTTCAATAAAAGGAATTTGAGTCAAAGTTTTGTCTTAATTTGAATGCTTATTTAATATTCTTATTTAAGCTTCTCATTTAATAGTTGAAAAACAAACGGCTGTGCGTCGAGGCTCTTCTCTTGGGCCACGTAATTCGACGGGATGTACCCAGTTCGACCAGATGAGCGCGAACGAGCAAACCACCATTCGCCTTGCGTTGTGTCCACCACGTCTAGCAGCTGGAAGCGTCTTGCTTTACAATTCTTTGATAGATTAAGATTAAGACTAAGATTGCGCTTTGATTTTTGCGCTTTTTTTTGATTCTCTTGAATCTGGATGATCTTATTAACAAAAAACGATCTTATTAGGATCTTATTAACAAAAGACAAGAAATTCTCATGTTTACGTAATCGCGCAGGTTCTGGCAGGCTTCTAGAGTTTCTAGAGTGTTCTAGAGTGTTCTGGCAGGCTTCTAGAGTTTCTTGGGAAACCCAAGCCATGTTTTTGAAGATATTCAGCTAAGCAATTAAACATTTTTATTGAATAGCTGTTTCCTTTATTCATTTATTGAATAGCTATTTAATTAATTAGCTGAATATCTTCAGAAACATGGCTTGGGTTTCCCTAGAAACTCTAGAAGCCTGCCAGAACGCTCTAGAACACTCTAGAAGCCTGCCAGAACACTCTAGAACACTCTAGAAGCCTGCCAGAACACTCTAGAACACTCTAGAAGCCTGCCAGAACACTCTAGAACACTCTAGAAGCCTGCCAAGCACTCTAGAACACTCTAGAAGCCTGCCAGGACACTCTAGAAACTCTAGAAGCCTGCCAGAACACTCTAGAACACTCTAGAAGCCTGCCAGAATCTGTGCGATTACGATTACGATTCAATAATGATCAGCTGAATAGCTGAATAGCTAAATAGCTGATTAGCTGAATAGCTGAATAGCTGATTAGCTGAATTTTCAATTTTCTCTACCGTAGTCACTCTAAAACCCTACCTCTCCTTTCCGAAAACTCAAATCGTCATCAGTTCTCGCTTCGTAGTCAAAAAGTGCAATGTGTGCGGGTCGGGGTGATGGCGGAGGGCTGCCAGGAGCTGATGTGTAGAGAGCTCTTGATGGAGTGGGAACTGTGGATAAAGGACGAGCAAGTGAAGGAATTGGACCCTTTTCCGGAAGAGCACAAGCTGATGAGGCGACACCACGCTCCTTGCCCACACAGGAGCCCATTCTGCGAATAGAAATGGTATTGAGTAGTGCGAAAGATTGCAAAAGAGCAAAAGCAAAAGAGCAAAGAGATTTGCAAAGAGAGAGCTTAAGATTTAAGACTAGAATGTAGAAGATTTAGATAAAAACAAGAGAACAAAGATATAGAATTAATAGAAAGATATAGAAAGATATAGAAATTAATAGAAATTGAAATTCCAGTTATTGAAATTAATAGAATTCAAGGATTGATAGAAAGTTGATGAGATGAAGCTAGGGCTAGACTTGAATAACTTGGATTGTAGTCAGTATTGGTATAGTCAGGATTGGCACATTGTCTGGAAAAGGGAACACCTGCATTGTTTAAACCAAAAGCCAGGCAACTTTGTCATAGATAAATCAAGCGACGAGCAGCCACGAAGCTGAGATTATCGACTTTTTGCTGAGCAGTTGGCTATTTTTAGAGAATTTTGAAAGGAAAGCTCAATAAATACTTAATAAAAACTATTTAAATATACTGTAGTACTTGTCTAATGCCCAAAAAAGTCTACAGAATCTCCACAAAGTCCAAAATCTCGACGCTTTTCGGTAACCCGACCTCCAATCCTGATGATGTACTTTGTGCTCACAAACACGCCGCTTCTGGCAAACCAAATTGAGTCAATTGTGCCAGAAGGGGTGTGTTTGTGAGCAGAAAGTAGATGCCTTGAAAGAATTGAAAGATTTCAGACTTTCTCGGCAGAGAACCACTAAACGAAGCGTTGGATCTACGGCCAATGCAATGCAAAGAATTCTTTCAATGTAAGTTGAGATTTAAAGTAGACTAAAGCCTGCCTTAGCTATCGTAATCCTATCGTAGCTTGCTACAGTAATCCTACCGTAACTCTAAAATCCCCAAAAAAGTCTACAGAATCTCGACAAAGTTCAAAAATTTGAAAATCTCGACGACGGTTCTCGATCGACGTTCGACTTTGACGTATACTTTGAGCTCACACCGAAACTCACCGCTTCTAGCACACCAAATTTAGTAGAGTTTTAAAGATTCTTTAGATTTGAAAGCTTATTTCTAATTTAGCCTTGCATCCTTACAGCCTTTATTAGAAGACTTAGAGGAATTAGAAGTGGGTTTTAAATGTTAATTCTCTGATGATATTCAAATTTGATCAACAAAATCGATATTTTAAAATGTTTTCTACAATATATTATGATTAGTTAAAGATTAAAAAGCAAAGGAACTAAAGGATCTAAAGAAATGAAAGAAGGGAAAGGAAAGAAATAAGAGAGTCTGGTGGAAGGGAGCATCCTATGGATCCGCCCCTTTCCTCTGTACCCTCCCCTCCACCTCTCTACCTCTCCACCTCTCTACCTCTCTACCCTCCACCTCTCCACCCTCCACCTCTCCATCCCTTCCCTCCCCCTGCAACAGTCTTTCACCAACCCATACCCTTTACCAGCTTTTCTCTTTTGAAAAAAACTGGATTACCTAAAGAAATCCTACAATACCATCAGAAAAACTATTGAGACTTGCTTTTGACAATGGTTTTGAAGAGTTTACAAGTTTAGGATTCGTAGATAAGCCTCATAAAATAGTGATAAGCCTCAATACAATAGTGATAAGCCTCTATGCAATAGTGGCCTCAATACAATAGTGATAAGCCTGAAGCCTCCAATGAAGACAACCGGTGAAAATTCACTTCGTTAACAATAGTACAGTTGTACAGGACCAAGAATTACCGCAACACAAAAGGCCTGGCTTTTAACCAAATCTACAACCCATCTCGAAACTTAAAGGGGGGGTATTAATCGCGGCCGGGTGACGATAAAAATTTTTTTACGACAACCACCTGTTTTTTTATTTTAATATCGCTGATTTTATTATAAAAAGAATAAAAATCACCCGGCTAGAGTGATTTGATGGGCTTACAAATTTTTGGAGACGCTGCAAGGCTCGCGTAGCTCATCTACAAGGTAAGTGCGAAAGTAAAGCAAAAGTCAGGCATTATGTTTCCTTTTTTTTTTCTTTAGACTTTCGATCTACACTTCTGGCTTTTAACATCTCTAGATGCCTTTTTCCAGATGGAGATTTTATGTTTAGATAATGCAAAAGACCATCAAAACACCCTAAGCTAAACACCCAAAACACTAGAGTGTGTTCCTCTCGAGTAATGCGTTTCTCAAAGGCACCTATTTGAGAAAACTACCGTAGTCAAACCTCCAATTTTCATTCAGTTAGCCCAATTTTTGTATCATTCGATGAGGAATTAAAAGGCTCAGTCAATGATACCAAAATCTGGCTGATCGAACGTAAACTAACGACTTGACTACGGTAATTTCTCAAATAGGTGCCTATCTATTGATTGTTTTTTTGCAAGCTTATTTCCTTTGCTATTTTATTATACGATCATAAGATATATTTTTAGGATTTCTAAACAAAATGGAGGCGGAAGAAGAGCTAATCGAAAAGCCAGCATTTGTTATTGTTGAATTCGCTCAATTGGAGAAACTATTACAAAGATGCCCAGATTGTGGAAAACTTCCAAGCGGTCAAAAAACAGGACAAGAAAGAAAGATTGAATGGACAACAAATGGATCGAACATGACAGCAATCATCCGTTGTGGCTGTACTAATTATTCCCGAACTCGTTGGTCCACGAATCATTTATTTCGGGAACTGAGACGCGAACTGGTAACCTCGCCTTGACTGGGCAGCGCAACTAGCGCCCGTCGGCTTTGTCGAGTTATCGTCGTTTTTCAATTGCACAAATTCCGTTTTGAAAAAGGATCGCTTTCTCAGCCTGACCAAATGTTTTGTGTGGCCGATGATTGAAGTATTTTACAAAGAGAAACAAGCTCAAATATTTGAGAGTTTTCGGAAAGGGGCGATTGGAATTGCAATGGATGGTCAATTCGACTCTCCAGGATATTCAGCGGAATTTTGTGCTGTTACGTCTATCGAAATCGAAACCAAGCAAGTAATAGATTTTGCTATTGTTCACAAAAGTGAAACTGAAAACAAAAGCGCTGCAATGGAATTAGAAGGAGTGAAACGGTCAATTTGTTTCATCGAGGCAAAGGCGGATATTGCTAGTATCACAACAGATAAAAATAATCAGATTGTATCTTACCTCCAAAAACGCAAATTCAAGGTCAATTTTGATCCTTGGCACAAAGAAAATATTTTTGTCGAAAAGGATTTGAATATCGGACTATGCTGGCAGTTTTGGATCATAATACAAAGATTCAAGCCGAGATGGCAGGAGAGCGCCAAGTAGAATCCAGCTACCGTTGTTTTTCGAAAGGCAAGGGAGCTTATGTTACGAAAAAAAAGAAAACCACAATCGACCACAAATGGAAAAAAGATCTAATTGTGTCAATCAAAGCGCTGAAGACGTCCTACGGTGGAGGAGATCCAGTCACTTCTGGTGAAGATGCGCTGGAAATTGATAAGATAGGAAGCCGTTTTGAGGAACTGCTGTACTTGAGCGAAGATGAAAGTGAGCAAGAGGAAGAATTATAGATTAACAACTTATTTTTATTGTTTTTTGTGCTTTTTATTTTGTTTTGAAATTTATCTGCAATAAAAACTCAATCGATCTAGACTGTGCTGAGGTGTCTGATGATTGACGATCTTGTTTTTCTCCAAGCCTTGCAGCATCTCCAAAAATTTGTAAACCCATCAAATCACTCTAGCCGGGTGTTTTTTATTCTTTTATAGTAAAATCAGCGATATTAAAATAAAACAGGTGGTTGCCGTAAAAAAATTTTTATCGTTACCCGGCCGCGATTAATACCCCCCTTTAAAGACTAAAGTTAACTTAAAGATCTTTATTCAACATATAACAGTAACAAATTAACAACTAAATAATTAACAATTAAATTTGTTAAATAAAAATTAAATTCAAATTTGCCTTACATGGTTTAAATTTGAATTTTAACTCCGAAGACAAGAAAACAAACATTTGCTCACCGATTTCTCCAATTAGCCCAAAGTGAAATGTTGTGACATTTGTTGAGAAGCATCTGCAAAAATGTCTCTCCGTTCCGTTCATCCTCTCTTTTCCATCATTCCAACTGTAAAATTTGATTTCTCATGACCAGTGGAAGTACGAAAAGACTTTCTGGACAGCCTAATACTTTGAGGTGTCTAATATCTCTCATTTTGGTTAACGTTAAGATTATCAAAATTCAGATGTCGCTTTGAAGCACAAAGTTTTCCGAGAAAAATTCCCAATGATACGATTCGCGCAAGTTTGCCTATTTGGTAAGGGATTTTGAATAATTTCAAGTTGCTAGCGGTAGAAAAGGTCACGATTTTAGGTTTGATGTAAAAGTAGCATTATTACGTTTTCGGCTTGATCACAGCTTGTTCATTCAGCCTGTAAATGTTTGAGAAACGCGTTGATCGTGGCGAGCAAATAGGCATCATCGAGGGATGCTTTGATGCTTTGCTTTCTTCAAACTTTCCATATTTTTATATGGTTTTGCACATGCTCTGGCACACTCCAGACTTCAAGAAAATTCCAGATTGAGTAATTCAATGGGTTAAGATCGGGGTGAGCTGGGTGGCCACTCAGAAAACGAGATGAAGTTCGGGAAGGCCTTTGAACAAAACTCTTGCACTTTCTTTGCCTTTTGAGCCGACGCACCATCTTGTTGATAAATCCAAACTTCGATTTTTCAAGTGGCGTTGAGCGGAACAACCTCCTTCTTTAGCAAGTCCAAATAATTGACTGCATTTACTTTCACACCTTGAGAACAAAGATCAACGGGGTCTTTCCATTGGCGGTTATCCGGTTATCGGTTATCTGGCGATCGGTTATCCGATGCAGGATGAGAACTGCTCGATACGGTGACGTTTGGCTGAGATTTTGCCTAAATTCGATCATTTTGCTTATTGAGAATTCCCTCGACGGTAAATATCTTTTCATCGATGAACAGGATTTTGTGGTGATCGATTCCGTTGAACCGTTACGCAAAACTTTCAGACTGACAACTGTTTTTGGAGCCCGACACAACGATCCAATTGTATAAACACTTGTTTGTCTAGTAGATTATCAGATCATCAGAAGAGGCAAAGATTAAACGATTTGTTTCTTGTTTCTTGAATGAATTCTTGTTTTAAATGAATTCTTGTTTTAAATGAATGATTTATCCCTTGAATGCAACTGAAAATTGTCAAAAAATTTCTAAATTCAGTTCTATTGGGTTGGGGACTATGACTCGGCGCCAAACTTTAAAGGGACTTTTTGCACACATAAAGCCTTCTTTAAATATACGTTTGGTTTCATCAAAAGGATCCACTATTTCTCTACAAAATGACTTTTGAGAGATTCCACAAAGCTTTTCTTTCGTCGAGTTTATGGACTCCCAAACACAGCTAGTCAAAATGGCAAAGAGCCCGACTCATCATTTGAACAGTTTCTTTCACATAAACCTTCTTTGGTGTTTATATAAAAAAGATAGAGCACATTCAATTACTTAAGTTGCCAAATTTGCAGGAAGATCCCACCAATGCTTTTTTCTAGATGACAGTTTGTAGTTTTTGTGAAAAAATGGGTTTTTCTTGAGCGGAGGCGCTGTTTGAATTTTCTTTTAAATGTCGTTTTGTAGAGAATTAGTTAACCATTCTACTGATATCAAACGCATATTATTTGACGAAGTCGAATAGAAGTTTTAGACATTTTTTTGATTTTCGGCGCCGACTCATTCTCCCCAACCCAATAAATCCATTTCTAAATCCATTTCGAAATCCATTTCTAAATCCATTTCGAAATCCATTTCTAAACTTTTTTGAAGACAAGTTGCGCAGAGTCGGTTTGATCTCGGCAATGGATTATCTAAAAGAGAATTTTAGAGGGAAACTTGAAGATTCTCTGACCCTTTTCCCCGTTTCATCCAAGTAATCGCTGTGTTTCACCTCGTAGAGCACAGTGAAGCCGCACTTCTCAAAGAGCTGAGAAAAAGTTGATAAAAATTTGGATGAGTTGATCAATAGCAAGCTACAGTAGTTGATTACTGTAGCTTGCTATTGATACTCTGGCTTGAATCGTTTGCTAGATTGTTTGCCGTACACCTACTGTACTTAGTGAGGAACTTCTTAGCTTTACAGCTTTACAGTAGCTTTAGAAGTCTACAACTTACAAGCTATAGAAGTCTACAATCTACAGGCTTTAGAAGTCTACAATCTACAAGCTTTACAGTAGCTTTAGAAGTCTACAACTTACAAGCTTTAGAAGTCTACAACTTACAAGCTTTAGAAGTCTACAACTTACAAGCTTTAGAAGTCTACAACTTACAAGCTATAGAAGTCTACAACTTACAAGCTTTAGAAGTCTACAATCTACAATCTACAATCTACAAATCTACAAGTCCAGTACCAATAGTAAACTACAGTAACCAATCCTTTCAAATCTTAATCTTAAGAAGCGAAACCTTTTGTGAATTGTAAGCAGTGGCTTCGGCTAAAATCCCATGGCATCCAGTGTTTTGCGCCTGTTGTACGGCGTTGGCCATCAAACTGAAAAATCTCAACTCTACCTTTCGCTAGAACTTCTTTATCTTACAGCATGACATAAAGTATTCAGTCTTTCAGCTGAATATCGTTTTATGCTCACCGATTCGCGATTCCCCTTCTTCCAAAATGCGATGACACTGAGATGATCATGATGTAAAAGAGACGAGTCACTTCCAAGGGTACTGTAGTCCAAATCTGAGCTTATTGAGCAAAATCTGAGCAAGAGGAGCAGGAGAAGCAGGAGGAGCAAGAGGAGCAAGCTGAGAGATCTGAGCAAGCTCAGCAATCTGAGAGATCTAAGCAAGCTGAGCTGGGCTCTTTTTAGACTCTTTTGCCAGACCTCAGCTCAGTTCTGGCTTGATCCATGCTTTGGACTTAATCAAGGCTTAGGCAGAGAAACCAAGTTAACAAAGCCATAGTTAACTCTGATGATTTCATTTCCACTCACCTGTTCATCCAGCTTCTCCAAAAGGCCAGCGATTTTTCGAATCTCACCCTCGAGCTTGATTTGGTCCTAGAAAACGGAAAATTTTACAATTTTACAATTACAGAAGCTGAGAGTTCTAAAGATTAGTTTAAGCATGTCCCTGAAAGCCCTGAAAGCTTTTGAACTTTCTAAAGACTTTCAAAACTTTGAAACTTGTAAGTCTGAGCAGGCTGAGAGATCTGAGCAAGCTGAGAGATCTGAGCAAGCTGAGAGATCTGAGCAGGCTGAGAGCTCTGAGCAGGCTGAGAGATCTGAGAGCTGAGAGATCTGAGCAGGCTGAGAGCTCTGAGCAAGCTGAGAGATCTGAGCAAGCTGAGAGATCTGAAGTCTCACTTGGGAATTGTTGTTCTCTTGATCGTTTGCTTGTCTTTCAAGAATTGAGGCGATTTGTGTGGCGATTAGCTGAAAATTTCGCTTTCAAAGAAAGATATTCAATGAAATTTCAACTTTAAATGGCAGTTTGATAGTTTTCCCAAAAAATTAGACATTTTAGAAGCTTTCTTACTTTTCCATTCGCATCTCGAATCACTAGACTTTGCTTTGAGGTGACACCTTTATGGATAAGATCTAGATTTACGTTTATGATAAATGGAGCGGGTTACTGTAGAGTTACGGTAGGATTACGGTAGCAAGCTACGGTAGGAGCTAAAGCAAGCTTTAGTCTACTTTAAATCTCAACTTACATTGAAAGAATTCTTTGCATTGCATTGGCCGTAGATCCAACGCTTCGTTTAGTGGTTCTCTGCCGAGAAAGTCTGAAATCTTTCACTTCTTTCAAGTCATCTACTTTCGGCGCACAAACACACCCCTTCTGGCACAATTGACTCAATTTGGTTCGCCAGAAGCGGCGTGTTTGTGAGCACAAAGTACATCATCAGGATTAGAGGTCGGGTTACCGAAAAGCGTCGAGATTTTGGACTTTGTGGAGATTCTGTAGACTTTTTTGGGCATTAGACAAGTACTACAGTATATTTAAATAGTTTTTATTAAGTATTTATTGAGCTTTCCTTTCAAAATTCTCTAAAAATAGCCAACTGCTCAGCAAAAAAGTCGATAATCTCAGCCTCGTGACTGGTCATCGCTTCGTTTATCTAGCATGAAGTTGCCTGGCTTTTGGTTTAAACAATTCAGGTGTTCCCTTTTCCAGACAATGTGCCAATCCTGACTATACCAGTGCTGACTAACCCAAGTCATTCAGGTCTAACCCTGGCTTCATCTCATCAACTTTCTATCAATCCTTGAATTCTATTAATTTCAATAACTGGAATGTCAATTTCTATTAATTTCTATTAATTTCTATATCTTTCTATTAATTCTATATCTTTGTTCTCTTGTTTTTATCTAAATCTTCTACATTCTAGTCTTAAATCTTAAGCTCTCTCTTTGCAAATCTCTTTGCTCTTTTGCTTTTGCTCTTTTGCAATCTTGCGCACTACTCAAGTACCATTTCTATTCGCAGAATGGGCTCCTGTGTGGGCAAGGAGCGTGGTGTCGCCTCATATTAATTCTATATCTTGTTCTCTTGTTCCTCCTCTAAGTCTTCTAATAATAGGGGAGGGTACAGAGGAAAGGGGCGGATCCATAGGATGCTCCCTTCCACCAGACTCTCTTATTTCTTTCCTTTCCCTTCTTTCATTTCTTTAGATTCTTTAGTTTCTTTGCTTTTTAATCTTCAACTAATCATAATATATTGTAGAAAACATTTTAAAATATCGATTTTGTTGATCAAATTTGAATATCAATCAAATCAAATCAGAGAATTAACATTTAAAACCCACTTCTAATTCCTCTAAGTCTTCTAATAAAGGCTGTAAGGATGCAAGGCTAAGTTGGAAATTCAAATCTAAAGAATCTTTAAAGCTCTACTAAATTTGGTGTGCTAGAAGCGGTGAGTTTCGGTGTGAGCTCAAAGTATACCTCAAAGTCGAACGTCGGTCGAGATTTTTGAACTTTGTTTTGATTTTGAACTTTGTCGAGATTCTGTAGACTTTTTTTGGGTATTAGACAATTACTACAGTATATTTAAATAGTTTTTATTAGGTTTTCCTTTCAAAATTCTCTAAAAATAGCGAACCACTGAGCAAAAAGTCGATAATCTCAGCCTCGTGGCTGCTCGTCGCCTCGGCGATCTCGAACGGGAAATTCGGCTCCATTTTTGCGTCAAAAATCTATAAAACTATCGAAATTTTTGTTGAAAACCATTGAAAAGATTGAAAACATTGAAAAGATTCAAAGAAAAATCGATAGAATTACTTAAAAATTGAAGCTTGAAAGCTGAAAAGGTTGAATTTTACTCAAAATTTCACTTTTGATTAGCTTCATTGACTTCATTCAGCTTCATTGACTGATTGACTCAAAGAAAAGAGCTCAAAAGAGCTTGAAAAACATTTTTAAAGTTTAAAAAAGAATAAAATTGAATGTCCAGAGGTTTTGGGAAAAAATAAATGAAAAAAATTTTCCCATAAATTATTGAAATGAGTGTGAAAAGTGTGGAAAAGGTCAGATTTTTGATTTTCTAAATTTCTGAATTTTTTTGGAGGTTTTTGGTGGGGTTTTTTTGGGAGAATCGATGAGGTTTGGGTCTTTTTTTTTGAGAGAAATTGGAAAGGCTTTCCTTTTCTTTTATCGTCTTTTTTGGCTACAAATCGAAAGGCGAAAAGGAGAGAGGAGTCGGGCGGAAATTTGGATGAAAGGGGAAAGGAGGCGGCCAAGAGAGGGCCAAGAGAAGGCCAAGAGAGCCAAGAGAGCCAAGAGAGGGCCAAGAGAAGGCCAAGAGAGCCAAGAGAGCCAAGAGAGGGCCAAGAGAAGGCCAAGAGAGGACCAATAGAGCCAAGAGAGCCAAGAGAGCCAAGAGAGCCAAGAGATGGCCAAGAGATCCAAGAGAAGGCCAAGAGAGAGCCAAGAGAGTCAAGAGAGAGCCAAGATATCCAAGAGATCCAATAGAGTCCCCCTGGCCGTGAGAGGGCCCTAATCAGCTTGAATTTGATGTTAATTTGATGCTAAACATACCGTAAATGATTTATTAGAATGATTTGTGATTCTATTTTGCCAATAACACCTCTAGGTGTCGTTCTATTAGAGAATGTCATTTTATTTTTCACTCGAATGGCCACAATGAGTTTGCAAAAAAGTATCTATCTTAAAAAAGCGTATTTCATTTAATAAATATAACCTCTTCTATAACTACTATAGATAACGATTGCAGGAACAAAAACTGCAGTAAAAACTTTTGAATCAGTCTTTTTTCTTGTATAATAAGAAAAATGTGTACCAGAGTTAACGGTGATTTATTTTGCACACACAATTTACATATGAAGAAAAGAATCTAGGGAACAGGGGATCTAGGGAATAGGGGATCTTGGGAATAGGGAATCTAAGGAATAGGGGATCTTGGGAATAGGGGATCTTGGCAATAGGGAATCTTGGGAATAGGGAATCTTGGGAATAGGGAATCTAAGGAATAGGGAATCTTGGGAATAGGGGATCTTGGGAATAGGGGATCTAAGGAATAAGGAATCTGAGGAATAAAGAATCTTGGGAATAGGGAATCTAGGGAATATTCTACCGTTTATAAGGATTGGACGATGTAGGAGATGATGTAAAAGGAGGAGGCTACCCGCTTTATATAAGCTTGCGCCTTAGACAAGTCTACCCATTTGGATCCCTGGTTATCCCAATCTCGAGGCCTAGGGAGACCGGTATTCGGGATCGGATCGGAGCCAGTTGCTGTAGGTAACCACACTGTATGGGTGCCTGTAGGCAATCGCCATATGGATGCGGTTACCTACAGCACTCGGTACAGAAGATATCCCTCACTCATCTACTGGATTCGAACCAGAGACTAACCGAGCCCAACGTCGCTTCGAAATTGATTTCAGCAGCTTCTTTTTGCAGTTCTCCTTGCAGTTCTCCTTGCAGTTCTCCTTGCAGTCCTCCTTGCAGTCCTCCATGCAGCTCTCCTTGTAGTTCTCCTTGTAGTTCTCCTTGTAGTTCTCCATGCAGTTCTCCTTGCAGTTCTCCTTGCAGTCCTCCTTGCAGTCCTCCATGCAGTTCTCCTTGCAGTTCTCCTTGCAGTTCTCCTTTCAAAGTTGCAAAAAACACGATTCCATATCGGCATTTCACATTCTCCAACCATTCTCCAACCATTCGCCACTGGCATTAGAATTCGCAATGCTCAAGCATTCGATAAATTCTTAGAAAGGAATGATTTCAATTCAAAGTCAAAATTTCAATATAAATACTCAACAATCACAAAGATTTCTTAAAGAAATGAAAGTTTTTAAATAAAGAGTTCTCTTTTCTTTACTCACTCTCAAATGCATTGAAAATTGGCATTTGATAGAGGGAAAAACCGAAAAAAAAAACGCTTAAATAAAGAGTTGTTAAACTTTTTACAAATAAAAATCTCTTAAAAGACTTAAATTTTAGAAATTAAACCTTACCATTTTAAAAAAAGCTATAGAATTTCAAGGAATTTATCGTGAAAAAGGAGTTTTGAATGAATTCAGCTCAATGAATTCAGTTTAATGAATTCAGCTCAATGAAAGCAGCTCAATGAAAGCAGCTCAACGAATTCAGCTCAATGAATTCAGCTAATGAATTCAGCTCAATGGATTCAGCTCAATGAAATCAGCTCAACGAATTCAGCTCAATGAAATCAGCTCAACGAATTCAGCTCAACGAATTCAGCTCAATGAATTCAGCTCAATGAAAGCAGCTCAACGAATTCAGCTCAATGAATTCAACTCAATGAAAGCAGCTCAACAAATTCAGCTAATGAATTCAGCTCAATGAAAGCAGCTAATGAATTCAGCTCAATGAATTCAGCTAATGAACTCAGCTCAACGAATTCAGCTCAACGAATTCAGCTAATGAATTCAGCTCAATGAAAGCAGCTCAATGAAATCAGCTCAATGAAATCAGCTCAATGAAATCAGCTCAATGAATTCAGCTCAATGAATTCAGCTCAACGAATTCAGCTCAACGAGTTCAGCTCAACGAGTTCAGCTCAATGAATTCAGCTAATTAGCCGCTTGCTGATTCTCATTTGAGCTTTTCTTTACTGGAAATCGATGAATATTTGTTGAAAGCTTGAGTGTAAATTCAATTTATTTCATTTATTTCATTTATTTAATAGATAATTAATGATTTTGATAAAGCTTTGAGATTTCGGGTGAATATGTTGGTGAATATTTCACTCTGGAGCATCCGTCACTTCGGTGTCCCTCGTTGGCCGAGCGGAACCCTGGAAATCACATTTTTAACTACTCTAAACCAATAAAACTATCAAAATTTCTGATAAAAAACATTGAAAATCGATAGAGTTACGCAAAAATTGAAGATTGCTGGCTGAAATTTGTCGAAAATTTCGAGAAATCTCGAAGCAAATCTGGAGCAAAACTCGAGCAAAACTGGGGGGGTTAAAACAAAAACCCAACAAAAATTGGGTTAAAAAGAGAGGCTTAAAACCTTTATGCTTAAGAGTTTGGCGGTGATTACCCGCTATTCGGCAGCTAATTTTTACATCATTGGAATCAGCGTAAAATTCTGTGTCGAATGGTCTATCATCGGAAGAGGCTAAGGAACCCAATCAATCGGAAAAGGCCAAGGAACCTAATCAATCGGAAAAGGCCAAGGAACCCAATCAATCGGAAAAGGCCAAGGAACCCAATCAATCGGAAAAGGCCCAATCATCCTTCCCTTGTCAGTTGGATTATGGCAGTTATGTTGCCTAGCTCCGATTGCCGATTTCCGATCATTTCTCTGTCATATCATTTCTCCGAATCTTTGCAGGCTTGTCACCTGAATCTCCTCCCTTTCCTCTCCCACAATCACTCATTCGGTTCAGTTCTTGATTCAATGACCAAGAACAAGAACTGAAGGAAGAAGAAACCCAGGACTTGGGTTTGGTCTTTGTCCTAGCCTTACAAACAATGAATTTCCTCACATCATCTACTTGAGACTCGGCGAATTGACTCTTAATCTTCGCCATTTGTTGGACTTCTTCCTGAAAAGAGAATCCTTTCCTTCTTCCTTCTTCTTTCTTCCTTTCTTCAACTATTTACCTCGGTTGGTTGAGCATTGTTGCCAGTGATCGTTTGACGATTTCTGAAAAAGAATTTATTATATCAAAGTATTATATCAAAGCTATTGATAGCTATTGGTATTGATAGCTATTGATAGCTATTGATAGCTATTGATAGCTATTGATAGCTATCAAAGCTACTGCTCAAAGCTACCTCAATTGAACAAACTCACTCATTCCCTGAGTGATCCATATTGCATCGATCTGTCGAGCAACAACACATCGAGATTGGGATCTTTTGAAAAGTCGTTGAAATGCAACGATTGCTGGCAAACTAGAGAAAGATTTGTAGTGCTTTGTGCTTTGTAAACGCATCCCCAACTGGCGCACTGAACTCTTCATCTTTTTTCGGAGGGAAACATCAGAATTCAGCGCTGCAGCAAAGCGTGCGTTTGTGTGAGCACAAAGTACAAGTTCATTGCATGAGAAAGGGTGTGTTTAGATGATAACAAAGTACAAAAGAACCGCTTCTCACCAAGCATCTCCACAGCGAACACCCGGCTTTCACGACGTCGATCAAAGAGCCTGCACTTGCACTCATATTGTAACACTAAAGTGAATTATGAAATCGATAAGATTTACTTACTTTACTCAAGGTATTGTACCTATCTATTATATATAAAAGAGCTGTCTGTCTGGCTGTCTGTCTGTCCGTCTGTCTGTCTGACCGTCTGTCTATCCGTCTGTCTGTCTGGCCGTCTGTCTATCCGTCTGTCTGTCTGGCCGTCTGTCTGTCCGTCTGTCTGTCTGTTTGTCCATCTGTCCGTCTGTCTGTCCGTCTGTCCGTCTGTCTGCCTGCCTGCCTGCGTGTCTGTCTGTCTGTCTGTCTGTCTATCTGTCTATCTGTCTGTCTGTGCATACTCCTCCGCATCCAGTAGGCCGTTTCAAATAACTTATAGTTAAATTGGCTTAGAATTTCATGTAGTTATGCAATCTGTTTTTAAATTTTTTAAAAACGAAAAGTATCGACGCGAGTGGGAGTCGAACCGGGGTTGCGTGGGCTAAAGACAAGTGCACTCGCACTGCGCCATCTACTGGTGGAGTGGTTAACGCGCGTGTCTCTCAAAC